CAGAACCAGTTTGTGCAAGTCCAATTAAATCCTTTCCTGCATTAGAACATTCAAAAAATTGAAGATCAGCAATACCACAAACATCAGTTGCAAATAAAGAATAGTGAAAGCAAAGAGAAAAAAGAAAAGAGGAAGAAGAAGAAGAGAACAGACACTACGGATCAATATTAGACCTGCATTCCGGAATTTACATACCAACTCTAGCCTGCACTACCATGCCATATAAAGAGAATGAAAATACATATATGTTAAAATCAATTTTTTTGGTAATAAATTTATAATTGAATAAATGAATAAAATAATTTTTTTAAGAAAAAAATCCTAAGAGTATGTCTTGGAAAATTCTTGTATTTTCTACTTTTATTTTTTACTGGCCAGCTGTGGGCTGGTATAGGTAATAGGTTAACACGTTGTGTCCTTATTTATAAATTGTTGCGTTGTCATATCTGTGATCGTGTCGTGTTGTATTCGTGTTTGCATTGATGCTTCAATAATGAATTATATTAACCATTGCTAGTCTTTCTACCATTGAAGAAGATCTCTTGACAAAACCCAAAACAAGAAACAACTTATCGTCCTTGAACAGATGCTCATGCCTGGGTAACAAACAGAACCCGCTGTATGAGAAGTGACAATCCTAAACAGATGAACTTATGTCTATAAGTCTGTTACAAACTGAGTCTACATTTAACGGCATGAAGTACTGTTCTATAATATGAGACCAGCATTTGTGATAGTATATCCTAGCCGTCCACATTTAATCATTGATCAATTAATTACCTGGTTTGCGAGTAAAAGCCAAGGCCGAAGTTCAAGTGAGGAGAACTAAGAAATAATGAACAATGTGCAGCAGTTGTTACCAGGAGCAGCAAAGGAAGAAATTTAAAGAAGATCTAGTAATGGCACATCACGTAAAAACATATTACTTAAAGGCACCTACAACAAAATGATACTTGGGGACTTATTGGTTCTCTAAGAAAGTGAAACCCGAAAGTTAGGTAATTGCTGCCTCGTGATCTAGAAACAATAAAATGCAGAGTGAACGGGCAGCAGTTGGTTAAAATATGTTATCCCGCAAATATATAACCAGAGCCATCCAATGTTGCCAGCCTAATATTTAGAAAGATCTGTAACTTTCATGCAACTCCAAAACTAAAAGGTAAAAAAATAAATAAATAAATAACTTCGGCATTGGTTGAATCAAAAGAATATTTGAATAGAGGAAAGGAAGTACATGCATAAGCTAAAGAAAGAACCTTCTAGTGCATGAGGAATGGCCTCAGCCTGAATCTTAGATGGATTTTTCCAGCCTAAACTCTCGCAGGCCTCCACCAATTGTTCACATATCCCCAAGCTCTTAAACGTCTTTACCTCATCTTGACTATCTTGTTCCATTGCCACCACTTAATCTGGAAAATAAAACAAAACAAAAACTTGAGTTAGAGACATTGAATTGAGACTTGGTCCCTTGGAGGGGTGGCATGGGAAGCTTTTTAACATAAGAGGACAAAGGATTTGTATTGTGGAACACAATAAGGAATAAAAATAAGTGGTTTCAGAGATAAATGCTCGTCTCCTCAACATCTATATCAATAATACAGGTTCGCTATTAGGGATATGAATTTTTGGCAGTATAACACTACAATAAAAATGGACATTTATTTAACCATCAATACGAAAAAAAATTTATATTATAAGAAACAAAATTTTTCATTGATACTGTGAAAAATAGCGAGTAAAATTACATAAACTCCAATTCAGAAACATTAAAAAACAGCCCACGCCCACGGCATTCTTCATTCTTGAACATTATGTAGCTTGAAGCTTATAAGGCCCCTCTTTTTTCAGTTTTTGTGCTTTCTTTGGTTTTAGTTTCTTTGGTGTTTTTCGATATCTTGTACTTGCTGGTCTATGTCTTTGGTTCTCTGCTTTTTGGTGTTTACTTTTTTCTTTTCTTTTTTCTTTCATTTCCTTTGGAAAGCTTGTATCCTTGAACATTATTCTTTCTTTTCATATTTTAATGAATAGTTTGTTTCGTGTTAAAAAAAAAACAGCCCACAAAAACCGAACAAAGATACAGATAAAACCCACCCATAAACCAACCCACATGATACAATAAAAATTAGACAGAAAATTCCAATGTAATTGGGAAGAAATCATCAAAGGTGAGTTAACATCCCATCAAAGCAACTTTAGGTTGAAAAAACTCCAACCAGAAACTAAGAATGGATGTACACTCATCCACCATCTGCAAAAGAACCAATAAAGCCCCAGATACAGACAAACAGAGATAAGAAAGGAGTTTAGAAATTCTTATGCTTTCCTTTCACTCTTTCGAGAGTTTGTAACCTTGAACAATTTTTGTTCCTTTTCATTTCATCAATGAAAAATTTGTATTTTGTTCAAAAAAAAGAAGAAAGGATTTTGGAAAACCTTTGAAAGTTAAACATAAACAACAGAAACTTTCCCCACTGCACCCAAAACAATACTGAAACTAAACCACTTTACTTCGGCCCTTCCTTTCTAAAACTTGCCTACAAACAAACACCCACCCGCCGCAGCACCAAAAATTTCTACTTCTTAACTTTGTTTCCAATTCCTGAGATTTCTTTCTCTCTTTTTATTCCACTCAAAACTGGAATCAAAATAGTTCCATATTTGCTTCAGATAATCATCACACTCATCACTAAGATTCTCCTTAAACAATTAAACCCATTCAACAACTTCAAAATAGGAAACCATATTAACACAGGGCATTTCCTTCGGATTTTGTTGTTTCTTTTCATTATTTTAATGAGAAGTTCGCATCTTGTTAAATAAAAAAAAATTAAAAAAAAAAGCCACAGGGCATTTCCACGTTTACTGAGTTCAATTATTGATAAATTTCCACAAAGTTCTAAGCAAATTTTCTAATTCTGAGGTAGGCTAGGTAATTTGATAAATTAGAACAAGGTTCAAGATTAAACATTGGTAATCGAAAACAAACGAAACTCTCTCTTCTTGCAAAATGGACTCAAAGATACATTTTGCAAAAGGATGGTCTATGAAAAAGATTTGTAGCGACTAACTTAGAGTCTACTCCTTTAGATACTTGGTCAGCATCCCCTCCCATGCTATCCTCAAAGAGTCCAAGAAAGAACCTTGTTAAACAATCAGGCACCCATTCAGTCAAGTCAAGAGCTAGAAGCTCCACGGGTAAAGGCTGCAACCACGAGTTTTTGGTGATTGGTCAATTGACAAGGAACCTTTAAAAGATCTATACCCAAGGCTACTCTTGTCCAACCAAAAATCCTCATCTATTAAGGATTCTTGAATGACTACACAACCCGGGAACTACTATTTTGAAGTAAATTCACAGTTTAATGTATTTTGTTGTTGACAATCTTCCACAACCATCTTTCGCTACACCTCGAGATGTATGGAATTGGCCCCTCATGCAACCAACTCCTTAGTTAGTTCTCACAACAAATATATTCAACAAACTTCCAGATGAACACTGGTTCGGTTTGTGATGAACAATTGAACCGATGTCCATGATTGAGTGAAATAGATTGATTCCATTGGTTCATTGATCTAAAACTTGAAAGACATATATAAGGGTTGAAACTGAAAGAGTACCTTAGATCAAGGGAGGAAGAATAAATAAGTAAAAAAGGTATGCAGTGCAAATGAAAATGAATCTATGGCAAGAAGAAAGACGGTGCAATGGCAGCGAGCGAAAGGAAGGGGGAATTGAAAGGTGCAATGAGTGGGTGGAACAGCAATATAGGATGGCAGCAGGTAACAACTGTGAAGGAAGAAAGGGAGGGCGAGCATGTGTAAAACAAGAAAAGTTGGGGAGAGAGAGGGTGACTGGGGTCTTTTCAAAAGGAAAAGGAATTTTTCATTGATTAAATAAAAAATTACATAGAAGTTTCAAACAACTTACATGAAAAATAGGATCAACAAAAAACTTGAATAATATTTCTCGAATTGAGCTCGATAATGTGGGGTTGGACTGGGTTGTTGAAAGGGATAAGTGGGAGTAGGGCTTAAGGTATATTTATAATTCTATATAAGTACAGGACTTCAATACAATTCAATTTGTTTTTGGAGTTTGTATCCTTGAACTTTTTCTCCTTTTCAGATATATGAAAAGTTTTTTCTTGTTCAAAAAAAACTAATGAAACGAACCAAACCAAAAACATTCAGTTTTTCTGTTTTTCAAACCATGGAGTTCAATTTTTTTAATAACCAAACTAAACCAAGATTTGATTTGGTTTATCAATTTAATTCATTTTTTTAACACCCACAGACCCACTTACTACAACCAAGGTAAATTTCTATTTTATTGAATAAGACTCCAATTTTTCACCACTTCATTAAATATAATTCATGAATACTATATTTGTTTTTTATGTGAAACAAGACATATCATAGAAGATATGAAATTACAAAAGGAGGGGAAGAAAGCCAAAGCTAAGACAAGTTACAAAATATATATATATATATATATATATATATATATATACATATTCCAATTGGCAGTGAATACTATTATGTTTGTCAAAAGGTATCCTGTATCCCCAACTCAAGAGTTGCTTTACAGTGCAAGGAAGGGAGGGGGATATTATGTAAACCTCATACTATGGGCTAAGAATTAAAAAAAAGGTAACCGGCTCGCACTAGCCTTAGATAAAGTTGGTTGGGCGAAATGCCCACCCCAAATGAATGAGTCAGAGCGCACTCAATTGGACACAACATTAATCCCACATCCTTCCTCCCCACCTCCTCATCCACATCTCTCGTCTAATTTTTGGAGCATGAACCTCTAGTATGTTTCTTATTTTCTTTTTTCTTTTTAACCAAATAAAAGGAAAAATAGAAGAAAAATAGAAGAAAAATAGAAGAAGAAGCCCATGGTGAGATGAGTCAATATTAAATATATTAACTTTCACACCAAAAATGTAAATGGAAATTTTTAGTGGACAATTGAAGAAGAAAATTTATATCACCTAAAGCTTCACGGGCGAGGATAATGACGATACCAGAAGCTTTCTACTCGAATAATCTCCATTGTTGCTTCAACATCTATTGGCTACCAATAATCTCCACATGAGCAAATTCCATTACTGAAATAGTGGAAACGATTGCAATCTCTAACAATAATGCTGCGTGACACTATTTTGGACATAAATTTAATTGCAGTATGGCAATCCCCACAAACACGAAGGTTCTTGGTAATTCGAATTGGTGTGCCATGCTTAGTGTTTAAAATAGCAAAGACAATTGCCAACTTTTCACTATGAATAGCTAGATGACATTCTTTATCCTCAACCTCCACATCATGGAGTGCAGACTCTGTCTCAGGAATGTAACCTAACTCCTTCATCTTCCCAACTAATACATCCAACTCCTCATATATTTTCTTTGATTGTGGATGATATTGATCACCTGCCAGAAATGTATGAACTTGACCCTTAAGCTCAACATTACTAATGCCTGGCACTTTCTTAATTCCTTTGTTCTTCATTGCATATCGAACATTTGCTACATCTTTCCACATACCAGCCTTTGCATAAATGTTTGATAACAACACATAGTAGCCCGATTGCTTAGGAGCCAATTGAAAGAGACAATTAGCAGCTAGAAGTCCAATATCCATCTTCAAGTGCACTCGACAAGCACTCAAAAGTGCACCCCAAACTCTTTCATTTGGCTCCATTGGCATATGCTTGATGAAAGCATATGCTTCTTCCACTTCACCAGCTCGTCCTAATAAATCTACCATGCAAGCAAAGTGTTCTATCCTTGGAACTATCCCATATTGCTCGGTCATCACATGAAAGTAATGACGCCCTTGGTCCAACAATCCAGCATGGCTACAAGCAGAGAGTACAGAAACAAAAGCAATGGAATCCGGATTTAGACCTGACTCTTGCATTTTTGCAAAGAGCACCACCACATCATGGCCTTGACCACTTACTCCATATGCAGACATCATTGATGTCCAAGACACAACATCTCGAAATTTCATTTTATTAAATACATCCCTAGCTTCTTCTAAACATCCACACTTCGCATACATGTCAAGTAATGCATTTTCCAATAACAAATTTGGTCGGAGATTGTCCTTCTCAATATATTCATGAAGTCGCCTTCCTAAAAATAAAGCCGAAAGATCCCCACAAGCTGGAAGTAGGCTTGCAATTGTGACTGCATCTGGTTTCATCCTACATTCCTCCATCTGTGAAAACAAATTGACGGCTTCATTTGGCATAGAGTTATTCACATATATTCCTATCATTACATTCCATGAAACCAAACTCTTTCTATCCATCTTCTCAAACATCTTATGAACATACTGAACATTTTCGGATGATGTATTACTCACAGCCGGCAAAAGGCTAGCCATCGTACCAGCATCATGATTTAGATTTAGGGTATCCATTTCCTTACAAATTTCCAATGCATCATCAAATTGCCCACGTTGTGCATACCCTGCAACCATTGAATTCCAAGAAACCACATCTCTGTTTGGCATTTGATCAAGAACTTTCCTAGCCTCCCTTAAACAACCACATTTACCATACATGGCTACCAAGGCATTTCCAATAAATACATTTGAGTCAAGACCAACTTTCACTATTGCATCATGAACTTGCAACCCAACCCTCAAATTATCCAATCCAGAACATGCCTTCAAAACACATGGGAATGTGTAATGGTCAGGATTAAAACCGCAACTTGACATGACTTGATAAATGGAAAGAGCTTCAACATACAAGTTGTTGTTCACATAACTTCTTATCATGACATTAAAAAAGACTACATTCTTTTCAAAAGTTCCATCAAATATGTAACGGGCAACTCTTGTTTTCCCACAAGCAGAGTAAGCTCTCATAAGCTTAATAGCAAGAGTTGGGTCAACCTTAAGATGTTCATTGACAACGATCTTGGAGTGTAGTTTACTCAATGTTTTGATGTCAGGATATCGGTCCAAGATTATCTCACACATTTCTTTGGCAACTAATTCAATTCTAGAGCTGTCACAATGTTTGTGGGTTGCAAAAACCAAGCCTCGGAACATTTTGGAAGCTAAGATTTGTCGAGAAAGAAAAATTGTGGCCTTCATGAACAATGGGTAACATAAAGTACCTGAAAATGGGGTTGAGACATGCAAATTAATTTATCCACTCCATCATGCTAGTTTCTCATCTTAGATTAGAAGTGATGTTCTTAATGTTTTCATACCACAATTATAACTACCAAAGATTTAGTATTTGTGTGGGGAATTTGGAGAGAACGAAATCGTTGGGTCTTCAATGACATCTCTCTCCCCTTTGATTCTTTTTGGGCGAATATTTTTTTTTCTGGGCAAATATTCATCCGTCTTCTTCCTTATGGTGTCTAAACTATAAGAAATTATTTTGTAATTATAGCATAGCTATGCTCCGTCAAGACTGGAAAGCTGTATTAGGGGGGCCGCCTTCTCATCACCTGCCCTTAGTTTGTTCTTTTCTGTGATTAATACAAGTTCTCTTTGTTTCTTATCAACAAATAAAATAAAATAAAAGAAACATCGACATCAAGTTTATTGGTGCTGCAATGCAACTATATGTATATTAATAAATTCAAAAAATTACAAAATTTAATTAAGATTGACCGAATTGTTTATCAAAAATAAATTGTTTGATCAATGAAAATCAATGAAATTAAATAAATCTATGTTGTTACTAAAATAATATTACTAATATTGTACTCCCTAATGTTATTTTGAAATTAAAATTAAGGGTACTTCACATTAACGTTGTTACTAATATCCATAAATGCATATTAGATTGAATGTTTCTTTTCATCTACCAACAAAAACTTTATTTCTTGTTAAAATATATATATATATATATATATATTAGATTGAATTTGGTGCAAGATTGACCAAAAAAAGCAAAAATAGGGAAATAAAATAGTAGATTCCACAAATTGAGAATAGGAACGCCATTCACAACTCTATCGAGAGAAATATCATTTTTCAAAAAAAATTGAAAAAAGAAGCCAAGATTTCATTGATGAATGAATAAACAAATAGAGAAAATTCCTGTTACAAAAAAGTATTTCAATTGGCCAAGCGAATGCTAAAACTCTAGTTTGAGAAAGGAGTGGTGCATTTACACAAATACAAAGTTGAGTAATTATAGAGTTCAAAAAATTATCAAAAGATTCCCCAGATTTGCCAAAAATTTTGTTGTTTCTCTCCAATGACAACATCCAAAAGAAGGCTCTACTGATATTAGACCACAAAGTTTCTTTCTCCCCATTAAATGAGGGGCTAGTAAAGATAGAAGCCAACAGATCAGTCATTTTAGTTGGCGAGCACTAGGCCAACCAAAAGCATCTTGAATGAAGGACCAGGATTTGTAGCGGGGGCATGAGGAGAAAAGATGAGCAGCACTTTCAGCATTTCCAAAACAGAGAAAGCGGCAATTTTATAGGACTACTTTAAAGGCAAAAGCCAAAACACACCGCTTCAATAATCCAAAGGACGCCTGAGCACTCTTCTTGAACGTTCCACCAACAAAATTGGATACTTAGAATTATTCTTTGTCTCCCAATTAAGAGCAACTATGTGTATTTACGTAGGTATTTACATTCTTTATTATTCTTTCAGAAACCCTAATTCTTGGGTATGAATGTTTCACAAAAGTGTATCTCTGAAATCACTGAAATATAGAAAGCAGAAAGATATTGGACCACTTTTTCTCTTGCGTGTGATCACTGGTTGCTATGTGGGGCATTCTTTTTTTAATGGCATCGTTCGTGCTTATAAAATATTCTTAAGGATGGGGCTACCAATAGCCATAAAGCTACTGAGACAGTAAACACTAAAAATAAAAATGATATAAAGAAAATTGATTTTCATTCATTCGTTATGGTTCTGATTAGTATACAAAACACGAGGAAAAATACTGTAAAACGTTTTCTCCACTTTTAAAACGTCTTTCATATACTCCCAATTCAATCCACCTATGATAAGAGGAGCAAACTGGGCTTGGAAGGGAATAAACGAGCCAAGGTGGCCATTAGTGTAAACCTGTTTAAAAGGGAGTAAATTGAAGAGAAATAGTCCAATGGCCATTGATAAGTAAAGTTTGGTTACTTAGCGAGAACTATAGAGGGAAGTGATGTGAGAAGAGAATGGGGGAATAATAACAAAAATTCGAGCCGTGGATGAAGGTTGGTGACCTATTAGGAGCTAGAAGGAAAGTTTTAGTAACCAGAATGATTCAATTCTGAACAACCCAGAAGAGAACAATTTGTAAGAAATTTCTACCAACAGCAATGAATCACTTAGGCTCCCAACTCAACATCCTAGCAAAGGAACTCGTGGTAGTTCAAGTTCTGAAGCAAGTGTTGGGACTGGAGTCAATCAATGGATGGACTAAAGAACAACATCAAGTTTAGAATTGATGGCTTGGGTAAAGATTGAAGATGGCCTAACACATCAAAGCCAAGAACCATACTTCTATAGGTTGTTTGTGCAGCCTTCTTCACCTTAACCCACAATCTTTAAACCATGGATAAGTGGGAATATACAAAGAGGGATTTTCTTCAGAATGTGATTAGAGATATACAATCTACAGCAGATGATAAACACCCTCTAGTGGCTTTTCTTCAAAACCAATCCTCCCCAGTACAAATCGAAAACCAGACTTCCACAAAGCGTAAATAAAGAAACCGAAAATTAAAAGATTACAAACTTTCAATTACACTACTTCGAGGAGGACAAAGGACGACAGCAAACCTGCGACGCTGAGAGTGGTGTGAATAACGGCCGCCGCGATTGCTGGTGCCGTCTGAAGCTTGAATTGGAGAGCGTCTCACTGAACCTGCAAACCCGTGATGAAGGCGTGAGAGGTTTATCGAATGATTCGATTTTATTTTGAACTATTTTGGCAGATTCACCTTAAACGAACGAACGACGAAGCAAATTTTCACGCCTTAAAATAAAAATCAAGTAGAGAAGATTAGCAGAAAAGAAAACATTGAAGTAGTCCGAAACCTTCTAGGAGGCTGGAGGAGGAGAATAATTTGAGAGAGAGAAGGAGAAGCCTGTTATAGGATTAGGATACTGCGGAGTTTGTCGGCGGAAGCAAATTTGTAAAGCAAATTTGTAAAGCTCTGTAAATTATGTTGCGGAAGAAGAAGAACACTTATTTGTAAACTGAAACTCCTTCCTCTGCACAAATAAAATAATATAAAATAAAAATTGAATCTCCTTTTTCTTTCTTTCTTTCTTTCTTTTTTTTTTTTTATTTCAAAATTCCAAGAATTATTTTGATCCCTTCCCTTTTAATTTTGATTTATTTTAGTTTCTAACTTTTAAAAATGTTGATTGTAATTTTTATTGAGAGAATTTTAACACAAATTTGATGCAGAATATAAATATGTATTATATTATTTAAATAAATTTATGTCTATATTTAAAAAAATTAGTGAATAAAATATAAATAAATGGGACAAAGGTACTTTTTTTTTCGTTCAAGTTTGAACTTAATATCTATTAATATATATTTGGTCTCTGAACAAAGTTTGAGTGTTATATTCCCTCTATTCAAATTATGATTTTATTTATAAATTTTTTTTAATGTTAGTAGATTCCACGTTATTTTTAATACGATGTTGACATAACAAGCAGTGAATGGAAGAAGTATTTCACACTATTTTGATAATAGAAATTTACAGCTAACTCCACAAATTAAATATTGTTTTTTTCTTTTTTTTATGAGCTAGCTTCTTCTTCTCCCTAGTTTATTATTTTCTTTTTACAATTTTCACAAATATATATTTAAAAAATATAACCAATAAAATTGTCAATTTAACTTTAAAGAACACTGTTACTAAAACAATCACAAAACCATCCAACCTGCCCACTCAAACAAAAATAAATAATGTTCACTAGGAAAACATAAATTAGCAATATATAAACTCAGTGCAAAGAAAGAATGAAGTTTAAATTAGGAGGTTGGAAAACAAATACACAGCTTCTTTAAATGTAATTGGTTAATCTTTACTATATACACTTGGAGAGTAACATAAGTAAATCTGCAGATGAACAGCTGCTAGTTATTATATGTTCTGAGCTGTTGTTGAAAGCTATGAATCCATGTCCTGAAACAAGGCTTTTGAAACAGAACGACATAAATGATCTCCATTGTTAACAGCATCTTCATCGCCAACTCCGCTCGCTCTCCGAAACGAGTGTCTTTTTTCTGTTAATGGGGTCTCACACACCATGTCATTGCTTTCCCTGCTCTGGTACTTCCTCTTTGATGCCTTTCGAAGTAGAGGATCGGTCTTCGGTTTCCTTGCTGCCTTTGGCTGCTTTGGTGCCCAAACTCGCTGCAAATCTGGTATCCAACTTGTGAAAGATGCAAATCTTCTGGCCTTTTCTCTCCTTTCTTGAGCTTTGATCAGTTTCCAAGTGTAGTCATTCTTGATCCCTGGGGACCTTTCATTGCCATTTTCATGGAGGAGTTTGTTTTCTACTGGATCGTTCGAGCTATAGTTGTCACCGACTTCATCGCTAACTGCATTTTCTCTCCAAGAATTATTGCTATCCTCACTGTAGGGGGGGTGATTGGTGGATTTATTCTCATCAGCAAACAACAATAGATCCATTTTTTCATAGACCTTATTCACCACATCTCCTAGACTCTGGCAATACCTGAAATTTTAAGCAAAAAGATTGAGCGAGTCCCAAATGAAAAAACTTGTTTTCAGTCAAAACTCAAATTCGAACAAGGATTTGAAGAAATAGTTTGATCTCAAATCAGGATTCTAATGCATATAGATAAAATGGTCCAACCAGAAAAATAATAAGCAGGAACTTTGTATGAGACATAATGAGGTACCTAACATAAGAAACAAATCTAATAAATCCAGTGTAGATATGCTGATGTTCATAGCAAGCCCTGAAAAACTTCGTAATTTTCATGTAGATTATAGTCATAAAGGAGCTGTGAGTTACTTGCAAACTGATTCAAAAAAATTTCACATTCATTCTTCCATACACTCGGAGAAAATTCATAAATTTCACATCATTCTTTCACTTGACAGAATTGGTTGAAAAACGTTAAATACATATGCTTTTTGAAACAATAGTGAAATTCCAAACTTCTCAATGTTTAAGATTGGGGACAGAAATCCTACTCCACTATATAGTTCTTACCAGACATTTTAAACACTTTGAGACCGAGTGTTCTAGGTTCCAAAAGCACCAAAATAGCTATTCCAACAGAATCTTTTAGTTATCTGTCTCAACAAATGATTTTAATCAACTTTTGTACATAAACAAGTACCTGCTTTTTATGATTCTTCCAACATAATTTTCGAGGCTCCACTCTCCGAAAAATCCTCCCTCCAAATGGCATTGAATGGTCTCTAAAAGCAAACAAATATGCTTGACAAACTTCTGTTTTGTAGATTCACTAATGCTGAATCTAATTGGCGATCGTAATATCTCCATTCGGAAGAAGATTTGCAATTCATGTCTGGTGCTTGTTAAGGAAAATGCATGAAGGAATTATAATCAGTTTGTTCAACTATTAATGTCAAAAGAAATAATAGAAAACTGGAAGTAGTCAAAAAAGGATACTCTCTGATTATGTTTCCTGAGGATTGTCCTGTGGATCCTGGACTACACTCCTCAAAGGAGAAATCGTTGTTCTTTGGCTTTGTGGCCAAGTCTTTGGGCTCCCTCAGCAAAAGTTTATTTAGTTCTGTAGCAACTGTAAAACTGAGAGTAGAATCAGAGTTTCTGGCATTTGGTTGATTATCTGAAGTGCCTTGCACTTCATGCTTTTGGCTTAACCAGTATATAGCTGAACTCACGAGTCGCTCTGCCAAAGCGCCCAAGTCAACAACCTCGGATATGAGTCCTTGTTGGATCTTACTGGAAAGATTCTTGAAAAAGTCTTCAGAAGTCTCCATGTGATAGTCAATTGTTGCTTCAGCCAGTGTATTAGAGGCCTCAGCCAAGGAATTTTCTTTACCTGATGAAGTTGCTGGTTGTTCACTTTCTTGGTGCAACTGTCTCAACCCATCATCCTTTTTAACAGGATCACCCTGCTGTAATCGCAAGTTTTCCGGTAACATAAGCTCACATAAGGTGGATTTCTTAATCTGTTTAACCCAGCATTTAAAAAATTTCAGCTTCTTTGAGCTATTAGAATATCTGTCAAAATAAACATCTTCAAGTTCAATATTCACATGTTCAAATACTGCCTTATAGAAATCTGTCCAAGTGAAGTTCTGGATTAAATGTCTAGTCTTCTTCTTCTCTTTCGTTTTACCTTCTTCGTCTTGAGAACACCTAACAGAAGGGGAAGCCTTATAATCAACTGCATTACATGATTTGTTTAAATCACTACCAAGTTTGCTAGTATTGCTACCTGTACCCAATTCTTCCAACTGCCTATCCTCATTAGTAGGCTCCAACAAAAGAGGGTAGAATTCATTGTCAATGACATATAGAAGAGCTGAAGAAACCATGAAAGGCTTTAAGATTCCTAAATGTGAACCACCATTGGCATTTGAAATAGACACCAATCCCCAATAACCTTCCCTATAAAGAAAACTCAGAAGAAGCTGAAAAATGGGAACAGATTTTGGTTTTTTACAATCACCCAATTCAACTGCCAGCATTTCCAAAACCTCATCAGCAAAAAATTTTCCATTACTTCCTTGAATGTTCTTCGCGGGTGCTTCTGAAAGTTGAAGCACAAGAAATGGATTAGATAGATGCCCCTTGAATCTTACTATTTCACTACATTTATGCACAGACTTAACATGTAGCTTTGTAGCACCATCACCAAGCAATTCCAGAGATATTTTCCTCTGCTCATAACCATCACATCTCATTTTCAATCCTCCTGGTACGAGCAAAGGATCATCGGATCTGTTTTCAGGCAATGTATTCCAATCAATCAATTCAAGATTGCAAAACTTGCACTCCAATGGCTTCCCACTTTTATCCAAAATCTCAAGGCACAGTTGTGCTTGAATTTTTTTTGAAAATTTATCAGTGTCAAGGTTCCTCAAAGTCATTCCTATCCTGGGGTAAATCAGCCCAAAAGGAAGAAGAGCAGATCCCAAAACAATGGAGTTCGTCGAGCAAAGCCCCCACCCTAAATTCCTAATCCCAGTCTCTAAAAACCCAAACTTCACTTTCAGCTCATCATTTTCGATCTTATTCTCAGTAGATTCATGGCTAACATTAATCCAACTAAAATGAATATCCCTCTGTGAAAAAGCATCATTCACGCTTTCAAACAACCCGCAGAATCTTTTACTAAACAAATTCAGATTTCCAACACATTCATCATCCGTATCCACTCCCAGAAATCCAGATAAGCATCCAACCAATTCAGAAAGGGGCGAAAGCAAAACAACCAAATTCGTTCTAACACCAACGCAGTCAAAGCTTTCAGAAAGCGTACCGAATTCCAAATCCGCCATCACAGGGTCCCAAGCATAGTCGTGCAGGAGCTGACGCATGGACGCCGCGAGGCACGAAGCCAGTGGAGTACTCGGTTCAGAAGCCTCACACAACGGAAATCGACCAAGATTCGGCAGTGAATTGAGGACACTGGAGAGAGAATTGAAAGTTGCAGCCGGGTGGTCGAAGGAGAGGGAAAGAGGGCAAGTGGGAATCAAACTGTGGAGCTTGGAGGAGGAGAGGAGGGGCGAGAGGGAGGAGAAGAAGAATCTGAAGGAGAAGAGAGTGGAGGACGAAAGTGGAGGAAAAGAGAGGAGAATTTTTGCAGCGGAGGTGATAGCAGTGAGATATGGAGATGGGTCATGGAGATTGTGAAGTGGATTTAGATCTAGAAGGAGAACTATTCGGTGGGTTTTGGAGAAGTCTGTGATTGGATCAAACGCCATTGATGAATGATGATGAGAATCATTCAGAGAGAGACGATCGTATTTTTGTTGGTTCAGAGGTTGAAGAAGATCCCAAATCCGCCGGCCCGGCGATATTGAGCAGATTGCAGAAACGACGACGTTTGAAGAACATTGAAAACGCGGGAAAACGGGGCGGCAAAATATTTTGAGAAATTATGCCCGCCATTTTTGGCAATCTTTCAAAATAAAAAACAATTCTGAAATTTTTTTTTTATTTAGCCGATTTATGTCTGTTGTTTTATTTTAGGCTAAATTACTAAAAAAAAATGGTACTTTATTTAAAAAATATCTCTATTATTTTCCTTGACATTTTTAAATGTTTCAAAAATATTTTTTGGACTAATAGTTATTAATATTTTAGAAAAAGAAAGTTCAAGTATTTTTTTTTAAAGTTCAAGCGTTAGAGTCTAGAACGACATGACAATTAAAATAAAATCTTGTTCTACATTTTTTCTATTAAATGTCTTAAATATTCTCGAGGTTTGAAATGTTGAGATTCGATTTTACGCAACGGTGTCAACGGATATTTCATAAAAAAATCACAAAAATTGATGAAAATTATTTGAATTAGTAATTAAATAAAACTTTAATTGTAGCTAAATTAATCAACCATATTTAAACATAACATACTTGTGGAAATTGTTTGAATTAGTAATTAAATAAAACTTTAATTGTAGCTAAACTAATCAACCATTTCTAAACATAACATACTTGTAGAAATGTCGACATCGAAGAAAATATTATAATAAGATAACAAAGATCGACGAAAATTATTTGAATTAGTAAATTAAAGTGATATCCTTGTTTGTTCCCAATATAATGGATGTGGTTTTTCTTTTATTTGTTTGTTAACAGATAATAGATATAAAATTAATCAAATTAAATGAGGTAACCATTCTATTTTGTATAAATTTTAAATGTTAATTATATATTGTAATCCAAAATATTGGAGTGTTTTTTGTCTCTAAAATTTTTAAAAATATATATTTTCTCTCTAATGTAAGAAGTTTTTTTTTCTTCCATCCATTGAGTTCTTATGTTACTCAATGTTAAAATTAATTGACAAAATAATGATGTAACGTAATAATATCCTTTATTAATTCAGGTAAAAGTACTCTATCTTCTTGTTTTTAAAAAATGTATTCTATGTATTAATTTAATAAAATAGACATATTTTTATATTTTTTTACTTTAAGACATTGGGACTCTGTTTTAATATTATAAAAAGATAACTAAATATTTAAATATAATTATTTGTAAACCATTTTAAAAAATGTTGCATTTTTATTTATTCCGAGACTAGGTTGTCTCTTGAAGTGACGATGTTGTCCACAAAAGTCGAGGGCAAGCCATCTCTTCACCACGTTTTTTTTTTCAAATTGCTAATAAAATATAATGATTAAAATAGAAAAATATCCCACTAAATCTATTTTCGAAAATTTGGGAGATTTATTTTCAAAATTATCTAAATATTAATAAAACATAATTAGTAAATAGAAAATTATCTAAACTACATCCAATTTAGAAATTTTAAGAATAATTATTTTTAAATTATACCAGAATTCGTTTGAATGAAAATGGGAGAGTAAAAAAACCAATGGAATCTACCTTAAATTCAGTTGGTCTCTGACTAATTAAAATTTAAAAGAAACAAAATCCAATTAATTATTTAAATAATTAACTAATTAGACATAAAATTATTTAATAATTACATTTAGATAAAACTATTTAATAATTGGATTTAGTTTAGCTTTAATTAGCTATTGGATGAAGTTGATTAAAAAAAATCAGATCATATTTCAGATTTGGATATGTCATATAAGATAGAGCAAATCAATTAGAAAATTTGGGTAAATTTCCTTGGGTTTTTCTTTTTCTCCCATTTGCATTAAAATGATTTCTTTGATAATTTAAAAAATAAATATTCTTAAAACATTGAAATGATAATTTTTCATTTTAATAATTAAACTAGATTTTATTAACATTAGATAATTTTCAATGCATATCGTACTAATCTTTCCAATACTAGATTTAGTTTAGATAATTTCTCTAATAATCATATTTTATTAACATTTATATAATCTTAAAAACAAATTAGATAATTTTCCTATTTAATAATTAGACTCTATTAACATTTTGCGAAAAAGAAAAAAGAAACGTAGAGAGGCTTGTCATTTCTTGCCCACGTAAGAAGATACCTCGTGATAATTAAAACTGCAACATTTTTAAAAATAGTTTTGCAAACTATTTTTTTTCACTAATCCAATGGTTCTGATTATAAATTTATTCAAAATAACTAATATTAAATAACAAATTAAACCAACCCGCTATAAAATATTTGAGTTCAAATTAGTCTAGTCATTCATTCAAAATATTGTAAATAAAAAAATAAATCTTAACATATTAAACATTTTTTTAATATTAAATCAAAATTTGTAAGTCAATATTTATTTATACTAAGAAAAATTACTCTCAAAAAACATAAAGAATATACATACATAACATATATATATATATATATACATGAGAACAAATAATCCATAAAAATTATCAAATGAAATAAAATAAAAATAAATCATTTAATAAAATAAAAATAAATCATTCATAAATGATTTTATGGTAAGTAAAGAAAATGATTTAAAAATTAATAATAGATCTGATTGATTCGGTTCAACACAAATTTAATAAATTTATTTTAAATAAACCTTTGAACCATCCCGATATATAGAATTATCATTTATATAAACCCAAACCAGTTCTTTTCTATTGCAATGGATTATTCTTTTCCATATATATAGAAATAGAAATAGATAGACTAAAAACGACATCTCTTCAACACAAATTTAATAAATTTATTTTAAATAAACCTTTGAATCATCCCGATATATAGAATTATCATTTATATAAACCCAAACCAGTTTATAACCCAACCTAAACCATACTTGTTGGATTGGGTTAATCAGGTTTTTCGAGTCAGAATTGTCGAACACCGATACTTGCAGGTGCTTGTTTAAGAAAGAAGGAGAATCAGAAGGCACAATTGCTAGACCTTGTCATTGGAAGAACATGATACATATGGATCATTTGTAATATCGTTATCGCTAGAAAAAAATAATGAATCAAAACCAAATCTCAAATAAGGAACCTATATATGGTCATTTCACTTGACCATTGAACTTGCAACCAGCCTCTCAGATGATTAAATTTTGCCATATAACTCGATCCAAAAGCTAATATGATAATAATAATAAAATAAAATAACGTAATCAATCATTCATCATTACCTGCAAGTATTAGTGAAACACCATCAGGTAAATTAATAGACACTGTACTATAAATGCCTATATTCTTTTATCACATTTACAATCTCCAGAGGTCCCTATTATATCATATACAAAGAAGACAGCCATAGTTGTTTCGTGTTCAATTAAGACGTACCGCTGAGAAAATGAGCTACAGCCTTATCGGTATCGTTGTCGTACATGAGTAATGCCTCGACCACCTTATTCGATGAGAATCCCATTTCTCGTAGGAGTGTGTAGCCTTTCGCGAATTCTTGAACCTACAAAAATTGAAGGGAGTTGGTAATCTTTCACAAAATGAAGTAATTTACACAAAAGGAATGCAGGGACTAAATTAGGAAGTTATTAGAACTGGGGACTGTAGAATAGCACTTTTTGAACTTCACAGGCCAGATTAAAAAACAAGAATAAACTTTAAAGACCAAATCTATAATTTAACCTTATCATAGGAGAAATGGAATTGAATCAAATAGTATATTGGAATGTTCATAGTACAAAATTAAAGATAACATCAGAAAAATCAATAGATACATGATAAATAGAATTGAATCAAATAGTATATTGGAATGTTCATAGAGCAAAATTAAAGATAACATCAGAAAAATCAATAGATACGGATAGCACAATCGCTCCATCATGAGTAACTGAATTACAAGTAAAGATGATCCTCAGAGCTCTTTAGACATGTCGCCTAACATATGGAAAAATCCTAGCAAGTATATTTCAAGTACGTTACAATAAGATCACATTCCATATCAAAGGATGTCACTCCACCAATCATTCATAATTACCTTGGTTGGATTGTCTCCATAATTAGCAACTGCAAACCGTACAGCTTCCCGATTCAAGCCAGATGCAATATACTTGCTCGCAACTGGATCTCCAAGAGAGCCCTACAGTGAAACATGTATTCTCATGACGACAAGTATATAGATTGCGGAATGTAGACCTCAAAAAGGAACTCAGGAACTGAGCCCGCGAGTCAAACCATATAATGCCATTATCAAGTAGATTCTTTTCTTTCTCTAGAGACAAGTAACAAAAAAAGCAATGTTTTTAACACGAACCACATAGCTTTAGTGAACAAACCATAAATAATAGAATTACTAAGGTATTACATATATGATACATGATGTCAGAAAAAGAAATCAACCACTACTGATGCTTCAAGTACAATAAACTTTCCTAGATAAAATCCTTCTAAAACGGCTAAAATTATGTAAAGAAGCTCCGCAGTGAAGGAAAAAGAGGGGAAAAAAGTCATTTTTAAAAAAATAAAAAGGAGATGTTACCATTGTAGATGTCGGTTCTCCTGGTTTAGCAGGAAGATTGTCCAACCCAAACCGACTCCAATTCTGTGTTTCTTTCTCTGCTTCAGCTAAAACCTTCTTCTCAAACTCAAAATCAAATTGGAAATTGCTCCGAGGAATATCTCTAATTTGTGGCGATAATTGAGGCTACAAGAAAAAAGTTAACCCATCAAAATCCGAAGCAAATACATTGGCATCAAGGTAACCACATAAGAGGCTAGAAGAAGAACATTAACATACACCAAGTAAAGAACCAGAAAGTCACCCATATCATGATCCAATTTACATTTATCACAGTATCTAAATAAGAATCGATGGAGGTAAAAATGAAAACTCACCGGCGGAGTAATTCGATATTCCGGCTTGATTGTAACCCCGATGCCCAATCCTGCTGTATAATCAACCAACCAAAATGAAATAACAAGATTAAGGGAGTAGGATCACAAAATCCCATCAATTTCATGTGGGAAAACAAATAATCCAAGCAAACCCTAAAACCATTTCTAATATCCGCATAGGCTACAAAACCAATCGAGAAGATCGAAGACGATAGACTTACAAGAAGATGGAGGTGAAGGAGAAGAAGAATGGTGGTGGGAGGAGATTCGGGCCACCGGAGGCGCCGGCGAATGACCTTGTTGACCGATCCTCGGATACAAAGACATAGAGTGACCATACATTGGATGAAGCGACGGCGATGGGGAGGCGGAAGCCGGCGGGCCGTACATCGGCGGGTGAGAATCGTAGTGGCCGGGCTTGTTTCTGTAATCGTAAGCCATCGGAGAACAGAAGAAGAAGCAGAGGGGAAGAAAATCGAATGCTTGTGCAATAAAGGACTTCAACTTTTATGAAAATACTTGGAAATAATCATTTTATAATTGATATAATAATATCCTTCCTCGCTGCGAAATTCTTCTACTTAATTTTAGCAAAACTAGTTCAACTTATACACTCTAATAAATATATATTTAGGAACAAGTCAATTTGATGTTTGTTTCTAATTTCCTATTAATCCGTGTACTTTCTTGACTGCCAGCATAAGTCTTAATTTAATGGGCATCGGTATCCAATTAGAAGATTATGAGTTCGAATCTCTAATCTACTTGCTGTATTGAAAAAGTACTTTTTCCTAAGGGAAATTGTGGTGGGTAACAAAAATGTTTTATGTATTTCAAATACGTTACTTATTTTTAAAAATTTTCAAATATGGCAATCAAATAATATATCACACACATACATTAGTAGTCAAATATATAAAATTGTCATTTTAAAATTGGACCTCCGTTTTTTTAAGTGATATTTGAAAAAAACTAAATATGGTTGCTATTTTACTAATTTTACTACAAATTTTTTTAAGTGTTATATTTGAAAAAAATTAAATGTAGTTGCTATTTTACTAATTTTACTAAATATTTTTGTCATATTTGCAATTACCCTTTTCCTAACACGGAAGTCAAAAGGTAAAAAGAAAAAAACTTTGAAGTGATTTGAATGGGAAGTATTTTTTATCATACCAAACACATGGTTGGAGTCCCAAACATAGATTTTCCCTTTTAACCCTTGCAATGGTAGGTAGTATTATCCATCATTATAACCGACTTACATATCATCTGCTTGTTAAGTCTTAATTCTAATTTTATTATTTTCAACTTTTTATACATTCTCATATATTGTCAATCTGAATATAACTCAACTGATTAAGTTATATATTATCGATAAAGTAGTGGGTTCAAATCTCCATTTGTATCGGTTGTGCTTAAAAAAACTTTCCCATTCCACTGTCTACATTTAAAAATCCCAATAATATGAAACTTGGCCAAGGATACATTCAATGAAGTAATCTTCCTTGCTCCTTGAAAGCAGGACAAACCATCAAAGGCATAACTCAGCTTCACTTATATTTTATATACAACATAGCAAGGAACAATTTCATGCTACAAGTACTACATTACATCAAAACTGAAAAAAATTGAAGCCTCTAATTATAAGAGAATACAATACAAGGCCTAAGAGGAGGATTACAAGCAAACAATGTGGTGTAGCAAGTTAAAATGGCTCTCAAAGATTAAATATGTGGTCACTTGCACCAAAAATGGCAGCATTGAACTGTCTCGTATTCAAGTCGCCCCCATCCAAAGTAGAACCGAATCGGTCGAGCCATTGTGTTGGGCTTGGGTTTTCGCTCTCCTCTACCCACTCTGAAGTCATATCAATGTCGTCGAACTGGATAGGATCAGATTCTACAGGTTTTGTTCTCATATGTCTAGCCAACTTGAGGTTGTAGTTTATGTAAACAAGGTCATTTAGCGTTTCTTTGTCGATTTTATTACGTTTTTCGGAATGAATTTGTTGAAATGTGTTCCAGTGCCTCTCAAAAGAGAAAGTACTACAAACTTGACTGAGAATCCGTATTGCAACTCGTTGTAACACGGGCGCCGAGTCGCCAAACTGTTCCCACCAAAGCCCTACAAACACATGATATGATAAAGCTTCTATGGGATTGGGGAAGCAAAAGAACAGAATTGAATAATCACAGCTCATCCGAGCAAAGCAGAATTCGAATACAAAATTAATATCGTCTAATTATCACATCATCTTCATGTCGGGTCAACTAATGGTTAACTAATCGTCAATATACTCGAAGAACAATTTAAAACTACTTCACAAAAGACTAAAATGTTTATTTTGAAACATCATAGACTAAATAGAAATTACGTTAGAATCTTAGACCAAAAGTGTAATTTACCTTCAAAATTATTGACCGGATGAATTCCTTATTCAGAGCTACCAGAAAAACCACCACTTAATGGAAAAGCACAACTCAAAAGAAAAGAAATGCATTTCAGAGGATTTTATCCTGGCAATTAAAAGAAGAAAAAGGAAATAAAGAACAATCTACTGCTACCGATGCAAATGAACTTGTTAGCTATATTCAGCACAACCAAGACAGAGAAAATATGAATAGTTCTAGCAAAAACTAAGTTTAGCTGTTACATTTTATTTGGATTTTGGACTAAGAAAAATAATAAGATGCTTTCCTTTTTTAATATTTCAATGATTCAAGAATGCTGGATTCCAAAATGCTTTTACAATCTTCGGGTGGTTTACTTCGGAAATTATCTTATAGACCTAAAAATTTTGAGGTACAAAATTCTTCAGAAGTGGCCATTACTAAATATCAGTGATTCAGTTCAACTAAACCAAGCAAGAAGTACGGAGATTCAAGAGCAGAAAATCTGAAATGCTAACACACTAACTATTTCAATGAAATTGTACATGATGCAGAGACATTTGTATAAATCACAATGGACAGAAAACTTACAAGGTGAAACTGTATCTCTTGCTTCCATTGCTAAACTGCATCCAAACATCCCATTCGCTTTCGTGAAAGTAAATATTTGATTGGTAATATCGCGTCTCATCTCTGGCAAGGGGAGCAATTTCTCCAGAACATTGAAGAAGTCCTCTTTAATGGAGGTAAGGAATTTTATTTCAGGATTGTACTGAATACTCGGGTTCAAAAATGCAGCTGCTGCATGAAGTGGGGAATGGAGTTGGTCCCGCCACTTCCTATCAACGATATCGAGAAATGTCTTGCACTTGATCTCGTCCATTATATAGTAAGTTCTTATTGATTCTTTTGCTCTGGTCATTAACTCATATATAGATCCAACAGCAGGCTTTCCCCCGGATACCTCTCTCAACACCCTTAAGAAAGGCTCAGATATGGCCACACATTCTTCCACTGCTCTCCAGAAATCATTATCTTCTATAATGGCGATACAAGAAATGCTCTGCGGTTTATTTGCATAAGAATTTGTGGTATATTCAGGGCTGTTGAACATATGCTTCAATCTTGACCTTTGCTTCAGAATAGACTGCAGAGACAGGAAGCTTGAAACGGGTTTTGATATCCCAGTCCGAATGAGTTCTTGACCGCCGTTGAACCTTTTCATCAGGTCAAGCATTGAGGCACTGTTATATAGAAATTTTGATATGGTTTGTGCTTGCAAGATACATCTGTTTACCCAGTCTACCTTTGAAAACTCCTCCAAAATTGAATTCAAACACTGGGAAGCACAGGGGGACACAAATACAGTTCCGTAATTCTGAAGGATATGATTAGCAATACCCGTATAGTTGAAACTACTATCCATGATTATCTGCACTACATTTTCATGGCCAAAATCTTGAATGACAGAATCAAGTAAATCAGCAAGGCACTTTGCATTCTTGAAATATGCGGATGCATCGACGGATTTGTGAAAAAAGGTTCGGGATGGAGATGAAACCAAAAAATTAATCAAAGCTCTTGATTTATTGTCGGTCCATGTGTCTACAATGATTGTGCAGCCGGTGGTAGCCCACTCTTTCTCAATATCCTTTGACTGAAGGCTCACTTCAGTTTTGATCCTCTCCAGCCATGTGGTCTTCAAGGTTTCGGCAGAAGGGCCCGTAAATCCCGGGCCACATTTCCCTATGGCATCAATCATTAGTTGATAGGAAGAAGATCTAGCTATACTGAAGTCTAGCTTATTCTCAAAAAAGAATAAAGCAATGCTTTTCTCAGCATTTTCATGGTTGTGTAATGATGGAGGAGCCATGGGAGTAACAGTGGGAAAAACTTTGGCAATTGGAGATGGGGGCTCCATTGAAATAACAGATTTACACATTGATGATGCATTTTCAACAGTCTTGACTTCAGCTAACTTTTGTTTTTTTCCACTGGTAGTTTCTTTGATCTCCTCCCTAGTCGCTAGTATGGCCCTCACTCTATCAGATACATCGTCCCTCACTTTACTACATGGATTTACGCCTCTACTTGGCAATCGAGATAAATGATGCTTCAATCTACTAATTCCGCCATTCAAAACTCTAAGACAAAATTTGCACTTTACCTTGTTACCATCTAATTTCTCAGCATATTCCCAACAAATATCTTTCTCACGGACCACTGCAAGAAGAAGTAACAACAGAATCAAGCAGCTGAAGTGGTCAGTCATTCGGGAAAAGCATGCCAAAAACTTGTAGAATCCACGACAGGCAAAAATGAATAAACAAACGAATGACTACAGGTTTGTCAACAAGCACAGCATAAACAAAAAAAAGTTTCAACTCACTCAGGATTTTTATGTCTTCTGATGTTCCGGCAAGTCAACCTCCTGAGGGGCAAACCGAAAGGACGGTAAGTAGCTGAGAGGCCATGATGAAATATGCATGATTAGCGTTAATAGATGGTCAACCCTCAAATCAGTGAAACAACAAAAGATATGACTGCAGAGTGCCAGTAAGTTCGTCTCATGAAAACTCATGAAAGAACATAGATTAATATAAATTGCAACCAAAGAAGTGAAAAGGAAGAAACACATGACAACAGAACATGAACCTAAAATGTAATGTATCATGGACTTGTACATAATATTATCAACTTGCTGATATCATGTTGTTTGCTTTTATTGAATTTGAGAGGTACAGAACTTGCTTTATTTGGAAAAGTATACAAATTCTTTGGTAAATTTTACAGCTGATGTAAGATCTCCCTCCATTGACTAACTGGACTGATGTTACATCTTTTCCCCCCTTATTTTGATGGACTTGGAGCTCCTCAAGAGAAAGGATCTTCCGAAATACCTCTCCAGCAATTTCCAACTAACTTACGTGATAACATGAATTTATCAAAGCCACACCATTCGTCTTTGAGAGAGAAACTTTTAAAGCAAACGCAATTTTTCCAAAGCTAATAAGGCCACCAATACCATAACATATTCTCTTCTGCAAGAGGTTTTTCTTCCCTCTTTCCCGAGAAACAAACAGTTCCCTCTGCTAGACCTGCCAAATGGTATGAACTCAAAGTAGCTTCCATTTTCCTCCTTTTCATTTCGTTCAAACATTCAAAATCACCCCATTTCCCAACACCCATTTTCTCAGAAGCCAAACAAGCAAGAAACCAGTCATTTCCAAAGAACAGAGACATCATTGCACTGCATTTTCTCACCCAAAATCCAGACTTTTATCTAATTTCATTAACTATAAAGTTCAAAAGTGAAAACCCAAATTCAAACACAATTCTTGCATCAACTCAAACGATCCCACTTCAAGCTGAGAGACTGCTGTCTCGGGTAAACGTTCAAACCCCCCAATTTTCCCGAGAAACACACAGGTCGTCGGCCCAAAAGATATACAAAATTTCCATGAAATTCCCATAAAACTCCCGCACCCTTTCGCTCCAATCTTCCGTCGGAAGCCAGAGAAGCAGCAGAAACGATTATTATTATCTCAAACAATTCGCGACCCATGAACTAAAAATAGACCCCAACAAAATACAAATGGCGCTTAAAGTAAGAAAAGAAATAACGGGAAAGCGGAGGAAAACGAAAGAAAATTAACGAGAAATTTAAGGGTAACTTACAGAAGAGAGAAGAGAGAGAGAGATTGGGGCGTTGTTCTCGACGGAGAGATGAGCGGAGGTCCGCAGTGGGTGAAGGATTTATCGCGATATTTTGAGACGGAGAGACGAGGGCCAAGCTTAGGGTTTGCGGAATCTCTCTCCCAATTTTGTTCTTTTTCTCGTTTTGTTATGTTTTTTCTAATATATTTTTTCTTTTTTTTTTTTGTTTTCTTTTCATATGCGATATATCGCGGACCGTCCGATCCAACAACCGGGACACGAGCCGACATGTCGACTCCTTAAAGCGACGTCGTATGCGTATATAGAGGAATAATTTTAAAAAATTTAAGCAGGAAGCCTTCTCTATCAGAGCCAGGTTTCGATCCTGGGACCTGTGGGTTATGGGCCCACCACGCTTCCGCTGCGCCACTCTGATTTGTTGAGACGTAATTGAATTTAAATAATATATAATATATTATACTTTTAGTAAATGTTAAATTATAAGCGTTTTTTAAGTTCTTTTTGGCTATTTGAACATGTTTCATGGTTAGTTTAGGTTTAAAGGATTCATTATTTAATTTGGTGAATTAAAGTTTTAACTTTATTAATTAATTTTAAATATAATATTTCCAATAATTAACAATATTGGAAGTCTTTCTCATATAAATTATATATTTGGATAATTCAAAAAATTCTTTCTTCGGTTCAGCAAAAATACATATCTCAAAGTTCGAATCTTGACCATCACATGTTATAATAAAAAAGTATATATATATTTGATTCTTTACCAAATCTTATCCTCACCATCATTGAAAAACGGACAACTTATTATTTTATTTTTTTCACATATTTAATGTCATCCTCATCTACAAGGAGTTAAGTATTTTCCTAAATACAATCATTTCTTTATCATAATCGAATTTAACTTATGAATTATGTTTCCACTTTTTTGTGCTACTCTAATTTATTAAAGATCATACACATTTCAACTTTATAATCTGTTGTGTATTTAATAATCTACTTAACATGTACCCGAATCAATTTATCATTTAAAATCTCTAACATGCAATATGTCGCAGTTATTTACTTTCTATTGATGAATAACCTATTGGATAGCTATTTCGTCTCTTTTATTATTCTATTTGTTAAAATTAGGCTGCTTCTATCTATGCATTTTTTAAATTATATTATCTACTTTTTTAAAAATGTTTTCGAAGCCTAAGTCTAATTTTGAGAACTAAAAAAAATATAGTTTTTGTTTTTAAAATTTAGCTAAAAATTCACATGATTTTAAAAGATGGGAAGAACATACCAATACGATTGTAAAAATCAAACATAATTTTCAAAAACATAAAATAAAAACCGAAATGATTATCAACGATGACTAAATTTGTTTTAAGCATATACTTTTTTATAGTATTGGTTTTTATTACTTTTTCAACTTTTAGAGTAGTGAGCCACCATGCTTTTCGTAGTCACTCTAATCTAATATTGAAAACTATGCATATCCTTACTGGTTAAACCATAACATCTTTTATAGTATGATTAATATCTATGCATTAATGTATTTTATATAAGTGATATATTTAAAATAAAATATATTACTGAGGTACATGATGTATCAATAAAAAAACCTATAATATTACTTAAAACAAAATTTCTAATCCAATATATCTAATATACTAAATTATTCATAGATTTAGCGTAACTGATATAATTTATATTGTGTATATTAGTTATATAAGTAATATGTTGTACTATAAAAATATTAGTAATATAGTTTATATTCTATATATCAATTATATCAGTAATATACTTTATAAAGTAGATTAAAATATTATTTTAATCTTTGTACTTTCAGCTTTGGTTTATTTTGGTTGTTGTACTTTTCAATTCATGTAATTTCAAAATGTTCGTTTTGATTCTCATGCATTTAAAGAGTGGCTATTTTGGTACGTTAGTTTTATTTCTCATTTTTTCTACACTCAATATAAATATTTTGAAATGCAACTATAACTTTATAATAAAATATTTTTTTATGTGTAGGATTTGTGTTAAAATTTTGAAATTAAAGACCAAAATAGTAATTTTTAAAAAGTATAGAGATTAAAATGAACATTTTAAAAATATAGATACTAAAATAAACTAAAACTGAAAGCATAATGATCAAAATGAATAATTTAAAAGTACATCCATTAAAATGAAACAAATATGAGGTACATGAACCAAAATAGTTTTTTAACCTATAAAGCACATCAACATATTAGGTATATTAGTTATATTAGTGATATACCTAATATATCAATATTCTTGGGTCTTATCTCAAAATAAATCGACAAATAAAGTAATAACCCATTAGATCTCTTATTTTTTCAATGTGGAATTCTTAACGGTATATATAAACTAAACCTACAATATTACTAAAACAGAACTTTTCACCCGAATAAAAATTTGTTAGTGATATTTCCATGTGTCAATAAATTCAACGTCAATACAAGGGTAAATTGACATTTCCATAATATTGAAAAAATCGATAAAATATGAAAAATATCGACAAATATAATTAATATAGACATAATATTAATATTAATAATTTCAACCTTATTTAGAAGTATTGAAATAGTTATGTGTTAATTTAAATAACTTTTTACGATTTTTTTATTTTTATGACGTTTCAAAAAATATCTATTGATATCGATATTTTATCAACATTTTCATAAAATTGAAACCTCCACATTTCAATTGACATCGACATTTAAAATTTTAATGGTCTAGCTCGTTGATAAAAATTATTATTATTATATTTTTTTACAACTAAAAAGTATACCGAAATTGAATGAAAAGACAAAAAGGAAAAGGGTAAATAAAAAAAGGGGAGAAAGGAATTCGGTGGAGTAGTTAATTTTGGACTTAATTAATGGAAAAGAAGTTGAATTGAAAGGCAATAATTAGTTTACCAAACAAACCAACCTTCTTTCCAATCATTTTGATTCCTATTTCTTTAAATAAATCTAAACCTTTCAATTTCCTCACTTTTGTCCTCTCTTTTCTCCACATTTCAATCATTTCGGCCTAAAATTTAACATTAAAAAAAAAAAAAGAAGAATCAGAAAAGAAGAAAGGAAAAACGTGTAAACTTTTTTATGACTAAATCATTTCTTTTTTGGGGTTCTTTTTTTCTATTTAAAAACTATTTTAACTCTTAGCTAATTTATAATGTTTTTAATTTAAAGTTTACAAACACAAGTCAAACCTCTTAGCTTATTGGTTTCAAAAAATTTACAAACACAACAAATTGAGTTAGTTAATTTCAAGAATAATGTAATTTTAAAAATTGTATATTTTCAAGAAACATTTCTCAAGAATAATGTTCCTTTTTTTTCAATGTTTCCACAAACTCCACCAAATGGGGCCTCAAAGAACCCAAATATTTTCTCCACGAAACACCATCAATGGCGGCAATTCCACCATTAAAATAGAATCTGCAGAAACCCCACCCCACCCACATGGACCCTCCTGCTCTTCTGGCGTTTTCGACGATTTTCCGAGGTGGGGTTTCATTTTTATTTTTAATTTCTTCCCCTTTTCCCCCTTTTCTATGCAAATTGCATGTGATGTTTACTGCTCTATCTCACTAGTAAACAAAAAAATTTTGCAGCCGAGTTTTCGTTTTCTGTTTCGTTTCTCATCGTCAATGCAATCGACTGCGAACGTCGTTTTCTCTCTGCTTCGAGTTTTGGACTTGTGTAATCTTCTGTTGATGGCGATGGCCATTTCTGGATCTTGAGCAAGCTGCGGTGAAGTCTGGGAGGATGCAGTAAGAACTAAATCCATTGCTATTTTGAACTTGTTTGGCTACTGAGAAAATGGGGAGTGGAATCTCAATTTCTAGCCGTTTAGCTTTTGAGCTGCATTGATATTGATTCACTTCATTGTTTCTATTGCTTTGTTCCATTTCTGCATCTTGAGCAAGCTTTGTCGAAGTAAATTGGTTAATACTCTCTCTTTGTTGAAGTAACTTGTTTGGCTACTGAGAAAACGGGAAGAGAAATTTTGAGTACTACTCACTTTTCATTTCTGCATCTTGAGAAAGCTCTGCTGAAGTTTAGAATACAACATTGCTACTCTCTGTTTCAACTCTATTTTCTCTCCATGTCTGTTTCTGAACTTGTTTGGCTACTGGGAAAATGTGGAGTAAGATAAGATCTTGAAATAATAGTCGTTTGGCTTTTTGGGATGTTGATTCTCTATTTTTATCTGGTTTCATTCATTTTTGCATCTTGAGCAAGCTTTGTTGAAGTTTGTGTGCTCTCAACTCTTTCTATTTCAGCTCCTCGTTTCTTCTTGGTGTTTCTGAACTTGTTTGGGTACTGAGAAACAGACGACTAAAACGAAATTGTTATCAAATAGGCATTAGCTTTTCGAGTCTGTTGTTCTGTTTGAGCCAGTGATATTGTTTCCCTTCGGTTTTCTTTCTGTTCTGGTTCATTTCTGCATCTTGAGCTCTTATTAAATATATTGCAACTTTTTTTCTGTGTAAACACATTTATCTCATCTGTTTCTGTTTTCTCTTCAACTGTTGTCGCCGAAATTATGAAGATGCAACCAGCAATTCGAGTAAAGAAAGCTGTTAAATCATCACCATAGTGTGCTTCTTTCTTGAAAAGCCTCAATTCTCGGCCGAGAAAATGAGCCAGAAAAGGGAGCTCGAGCTCAAGCTCGGCGTCTTTGTTTTGTCTGCAGTCTTCTGGTTTGCAGCGACCTTTTCTCTGGTAATGTCGGAGACAATTGAAGACAAGGAAGCTCTGCTTAGTTTTCTCAGCAAAATGGCTCATCATTCACACTCGCTCAATTGGAAGAAGAGCACTTCTTTATGCAGAGAATGGATGGGAGTTCATTGCAACAGTGATGAATCCCGAGTCGTAGCTCTGCAATTGCCCGAAGTTGGATTACACGGTCCTGTCCCAATCGACACTCTTAGTCGACTATCGGCACTTGAAACTCTAAGCCTTGAATCAAACTACATATCAGGGCCTTTCCCTTCCGACTTCCAAAAGCTGCGGAATCTCAACTCACTCAACTTGCAAAGCAACAAGTTTTCTGGTCCATTGCCATCAGATTTCTCAATATGGAAGAATCTTCACATCATTGACTTTTCAAACAATGCCTTCAATGGGAGCATCCCTCCGATTTCAAACACGACGCGTCTCACGGCTTTAAATCTTGCCAATAACTCACTCTCTGGCAAGATTCCAGACCTCAACCTTCCCAGTTTGCGAAAGTTGGATCTTTCAAACAACAATCTCACAGGACCGGTCCCTCAGTCCCTTCAACGATTTCCAAGTCGAGCATTCTCTGGTAACAACCTTACGCCTGAAGATGCCGTTCCTCCAGCTCGTCCTGGACCGTCACCCAAAGCTCAACCATCAAAAAGAGGCACAACAACACTTGGTGAAGCAGCAATATTAGGCATCATAATTGGAGGTTCTGCAATGGGGTTAGTTCTAGCAGCCATTCTAATGATAATCTGCTGCTCAAACAGAGGAATAAAAAGCAAAGCCTCATCCAAACTGAACAAGAAAGAACAGTCTGTGAAGAAAAGGGTGTCTGAGACACAAAGCAACAGCAACAATCTCAAGTTTTTTCAGAGTTACAGTCTCGCATTTGACTTGGAGGACTTGCTGAGGGCGTCTTCGGAGGTGCTCGGGAAGGGGACGTCCGGGACAACTTATAAGGCGACACTGGAAGACGGTAACGCCGTGGTGGTGAAGAGGTTGAAGGAAGTGAGTGCTTCAAAGAGGGAATTTGAGCAGCAAATGGAGGTGCTGGGGAGAATTGAACATGAAAATGTGTGTGCCTTGAGGGCTTATTATTATTCAAAGGATGAGAAGCTTATGGTGTTTGATTTCTACCAACATGGAAGTGTTTCTGCAATGTTGCATGGTATGAACTTCAATCCACAATACAATAGGATGTATCAATTTCATTTGGTGTTCACTTGAAATAAGTATGGATAGGCTGCAATTTTTGCATAGCAATTATCATCGTCCTAATTTTAACTGGGTGGGAGATCGAACTTTCAACTCCGAAGAAGATAAAAACTTAATCCACACATTAGAGATAAACATTAAACCTTAAGTGGGTGTTTGATTTGACATCTTAAATCTTGAAAATGTTAAGCCCGGAGAAGATTCGGAGGAGTTGTGTGGCCTAAGTTTGTGTAACCCGGGATAGTTAGTTTTTTTTTGGGATGTTTGAAACTTTTTTTAAATTCATGTTCATGGACATGTATGTGGAATTTTGAAGGTGGGAGAGAGAAAGGTGAGTCACTACTGGACTGGGAAACTCGACTCCGAATCGCCATTGGCGCAGCCAGAGGAATCGCTCACATCCACTCAGACAACTGCGGCAAACTCGTCCATGGCAACATCAAGGCTTCCAATATCTTCCTCAACTCCGACGGCTACGGCTGCGTCTCCGACGCCGGCGTCGCCGCCCTGATGAACCTCATGGCCCCTCCGGCGACGAGAGCGGCCGGATACCGCGCTCCCGAAGTCAAAGACTCGCGCAAAGCATCTCACGCCTCCGATACCTACAGCTTCGGCGTCGTGCTTCTCGAGCTCCTCACCGGAAAGTTTCCGCTCCACACGAAGGGCGGCGACCAGATCATCCACCTGGTGCGGTGGGTGAACGCGGTGGTCCGAGAGGAGTGGACGGCGGAGGTGTTCGATGTGGAGCTTTTGAGGTTTCCGAACATAGAGGAGGAGATGGTGGAGACGCTGCAATTAGGGCTCGCTTGCGTCGGGAGAGTTCCGGAGGATCGGCCGACAATGGCGGAGGTTGCGGCTCGTCTGGAGGGAATTCGCCGGGTCAGCGGCGGAGGAAGCCAACCGGAGCCGCCGCCGCCATTGCCATCGGAAGGTGGAGCAGAAGATTCGATCCATATTCAGGTGAATGTGGCTGAGGGTGAAGGTTGATAGGATTCTTTTGATTCAGGTTTGTTGAAAGATCTTTGAAACTAAGAATTTTGATGATCTTCATCCGAATTCAAGCGATGAATTAGGCTAGTTTTAGTTCAAATTGGCCCATTTGGAGTAGGTTTTTGCTCATGATTTTTGTAAAATTAGTGTGTTGTTTGAAATAGAAATTTTGTTGAATAAACTAGCGAGCAACACTCATAATTTCATAACAAAATATCACTTTGTTTAGGAATGAAAAAATAGATTCAAATGAGGTTGTGTTTGGGAGATTCAAAATCACTTCATTCTTTGACAAATTAGAAGATTTGTTTTTTAAGAAAATCTTGATTTTTAAAATATCAAATTTGAAAAATCAATTATAAATCTTTAGGTGAGTGTTAGTTAAAATAACGGTTAAAATACCGTCCTATACCTTAGATTTGTTCTATTTTAGTCCATGTTATAAATTAATCTCTTTTTTTTTCAATGTTTCAAATTAATCTCTATACTTTTAATAAAACCTTAAAATTAGATTATTAGTATACAAACGATCGAATGGACATTTAATTGACAATTAATAAATAAATGACCAATATTGGATAGGTTAAATGGCAAGTTTGATCCCAAACTTTGATGTTTGTTTATATAGTCACTTATAGATTTCTAAACATTCAATATTGTGCATTATTTAAGTTGAATTCTGACCATCTTGATAACATGTGCAAACTTGTTGAGATATGTGTAGAATCTGCATAAAGAAGAGAAAATACTCCGACGCTCAAGTCAGTTCAAATATAAGGTATCGCTCTTAAGAAAATAAATTAGAATTACGAATCTATGTATAATACGGGTCTCTGTATTTATAGGTGTAGACTGGTGGTCCCAACTTACTTGTCGGTTTTCATGATTCGTGATGGAACGCCAGTTAGGAGACGGTTGAGTGTAGCTTCATACACCTTGGCTCATCCTTTACCAAGATTTGAGCTAATGACTTCACATACTTGACTGGGCCTACATCGAGGTTCAAGCTTATGTCAAAGTTATGAGGTATTATATGTCGAGCATTAGAGATGAAGAGTCGAACCTCATCTCACTTTGGCCTATATTCTTCTACCACGTGGCCCCAACAGACAGTTCAATTTTTTCAATAAGTTAGCTTCAACAACATTGATCTTGGTGAAAACTTATACCCTAAACACAGCTACGAAGAAGTAATGGTATTATAAAAAAACGTTGCGAATAGAAACTAAGAACCCTTCTAATAAAAAAAAACTTCTAATTTACTAACCACAAGAACCTCAAATCCGAATTAACTTAACTCAAGGACATGTTAAGTTATGAAATGTAATCAAAATTGACTAAAACAAAACATTAAAAGCCTAATGACTAATTGAAGGCCAAAGAGTGTAAACAGCCAAGTTTCAAATCTTGAGTTCCATGAACGAAGCTACTTCATTAAATGCAACTTCACTCCATTGAATGCAATTTTAGATATCATTAAATGAACTTAGAATTTATTTAATATTTAACTTTTCCAATTTATTTAATCTTAACTTTTCCTTTTAAGTTTAAGTTGGATTGAAACAAATCAAATAATAAAAAAAAAGAAAAATATTGGTTGGTTTGATTTGGACAAATTTTGCCAATTTTAGTCGGTTTCTGTATCCAATTTCATTCGATTTAACATAAGTTTCAAAATTTTTTTAAATAGATATTTCTTTTTTAGTATAACATGGGGTGGAAGATTTATATGCCAATTACCTGACCTATTCAAATTTTCTTAAATAGATATGTTAATGTTAGTTTAGCAATTTCACATTTCTCATTATGTACAAATTAACAAACAAAAACTCCAGTTCTTTTTTTTTTGTTTCCATTTTTTCAAAAACATAAATTTATCATTTGTTACTCACAAAATACATGATAAAATATTAAGAAAAAAAATATAACATAATGATTTTGAAAAGTAAATTTTCAGGTAAATTTTTTTATTTCTGAATTTAAATTTGAGAGAACAATTTTTTAAAATAAATTTACTCAACAAAAATTTTCTTCTTTTATATAAAAAAAAACAAAAAACAAGAAAAATAAAATCAGAAACAAGAAATAGAAATATCGCTACATAATCAAATTCCAATTATCTTGAGTCTAGTTTTGTACAATGAACAAATTACAATAATCAATACTTGAAAATCACTAATAAAACATTTCATTCAGATATAGAATTACAACTTTCCCATGTGATCAGATGTAAAAAAAGCCCAAGTGGTATACTGTGGCTAACAAACTTAAGAGGATGATCACTCCTGCTTCCTCAAAATCCTTGTTTTCACACCACCTGTACATTATGGAACAAACTATATAGCTCAACAATTTCAATTCATATATAATTCTGACCCCAAATTTTCCACCCAAAACTCGAAATTCGCAGTTTTAATTAGAGTAGAAAACTCAACATGTTACAAAGATTAATATCCACGAGACGTTTGATAATGTTTCTGTTTCTTGTTTCTAGTTCATAAAAACCATGCACATTTGATAATAACTAGTGTAATTGTTCCTACCTTTCATTTCTAAGGAAGATTTCTTGTTTCCTTATAAACACATTAGTGTTCCTTTTTCCCAGAAAGAAAGCAAACACGGAATCAGAACATATTACCAAATACAAAAATGTTTTTTCCTCTAAAAACAGAGATCAAGAAAAAGTAATGCGAATGTTATCTAACAAAATTCATACTCTAAAAGATACTATTCATACCTTCGACTTCCTCAAATTGAACTTCCTTTATCAGCTCACCACCCGCACTGTATTCGAACCTAAAAAATGAAATACAGGGTAACACACATTCAGAAAAAGCACAAATATCCCTGCCTTAAAATACAACTCAACAAGAGGAAAGATTTATGAAGAAAGAAAAATCGTGGACATCTAAACAGTAACAAAATCAGTTCAGAGAATGCGAGTTAGTCAGGTAGCTGTCGTAGGTTGTGATTTGGCATGATAAGAGAGTATTAGAGAGAGTAGGCTTAGTGCTATTAGCACATCTTTGGCAATGTTGTACTTGGGGGAGTCTTGGGAGGGAAGGGAGCTCTCAAATGTTTCCCTATTTGTTCATATTTCCTATTTCAATAAACTGGAACTCAGAACTCTCACTGTCTACAGCGAAATGAAGAACTTTTCAATCATGTAAAAAATTCAACATTCTAAACAATCTCATGCTCATTAAGCAATTAAATGTAGAGGTTTAACTGCTTTACCCAAATGCAATCACATATGAATGAAAAATATCAGTTGAAAACTGGAGCAATAAACAGAGAAGAAAGGTCCATTACCTGTTGGAAAATACAACCTCAAGTTCATAATCAGAAGCAGTCTTAAAGGCTTCAACCAAAACTGTTACAATCTCTGTTTTTCGAGTACTTGCCATCAGTACATCGTACTCAGTTGGAATTATAATAGAAAAGAAGTTATCACTTAGTTCGCTTAAACATATCTTATCTACAGCAGCCAGGGCAATCCTCCTTTTAAGGGTATCAGTTTCTGGGTCAATGATATAGATGGCAAAGTCCGTCATTAAAAGAATACGCCTTTTCATCTTCCCAGAAGCAGTGAACTTCAAAACTCTATCTGCAAAAAGCACATTCTGGTCACCTGCAGGGATAAAGATGATGGTAGAACTTGGTTATGGCTCATTAGATAGAATGCAAAAGAAGACCTGTATGAATGATGAATCACTTCAAAATGACTACTACCAATGCAACATGAATTATAATATTCCATAACAGTAAGGTCTAAGAAGTATGGACACAGACACGAGATACAAAAAGATTCAAAGAAAAAGACAGTGACAAGTTAATTTCTCAAAATGGAGAATACTGACAGTCTAACACAGTAAGAACACGTTTATTATCACATACCGTCTTTAAATAAGAGTACTATTTTTATACGTTTCAATTATTCTCATGCTAAAAATTTGTTTTAGTTTATGGTGCTTATGCAACTATGATACAGTGTCTAAGAACAGGTTTATTATAACATACCATCTTTAAATAAGATTACTATTTTTGTTTTTATACATTTCAATGGTTCTCATGCTAAAAAATTGTTTTAGGTTAGGTTGCTTATTCATTTATCATACAAGTGTCTAATATTACTTAAGGTACATATTTTTTTTTAAGCATTCGACATGTGCCCAAAATTATCAGATATGTATCCAATTTATTCAACTGGTGTGTGATATATGTCTATTGTACTTAACTTGGTGGGTTCATTTTTCTTCCTTATTACTACTCAAAGGGCTAAACAGAATAAATCTCGTCTCTTATTTAATAAAAGATGGACTTTAGATATAAGAAGGCAAATTCCTCTCAAAAGATATAAGAAAGTAAATCCAACAGAATAAAACCCAAGAAAAGCTTTCATGTTATCATCACATTAACCCTCTTTCAAAATGCTTAATATTAAGCTAAAATGGTTTCTATTTATTCACAAATTCAGAAAGAAAACTACACAACACATAAGAACAAATTATATTTTTAGGAATTACAGTGTCCAAATAGACAACAATCTCAAATATACCTAAGCAAGCATCTTCCCTTATTTAAAGAAATACGGCACAGGAGGACGAGGAGTATTATCCATTAAGAAAGCAATAGATTCGTAATTCTGGAGACGAAAACTATAATCCACATAAAATGTCATTAAGAAGGATGAACAAAGTGGAACTAATCAGCTACAATTCACAAATTTCGGAGACGAAATACGTTGATATGAGGGCGAAGTACAAGAGAAAACAAAATTCAATTTCAGGGCAGAGAGATTATCAAGGACCGTAAATAATATCAAACAGGCAAGTACAAAATTAACCTTGTTTCTGCAAGATTTTCATCAAGAACGGCAGCGAGGGCACATCGATGTAGTCCCCCTTGTAATCTCGATGAAGCGACGCTTTTCGACGGACCTTGACGCCCATGAACGGCTCCTGATCTTCGGTCACATTCCCATCAGAGGGTCGGAATTTCAATCCTTGCACAACGTCGGCGGTTCCGGCGATGTCCCGTCGTTCAACAGCTCCGCCGGCGTCATGTATCGGAGCCGGAGATCGGTCGTCGATGTGGACCCGCCGGCGGGATCTGGACAGGTCCATCGTTGTTCTTGTTCGAAATTGGGACTCAGCGAGAAAAAAGGAGTTTCTCTCTCTAAGTCTCACAACCTATCGTGGAGTGAAGGCCATTTTTCATCAATATCAAAATTTTCCTCTAATTTTGAAGTTTTATTTTATTTTGATATTTAAATTACGAAAAATATTAATTTTAGTATTTATCTTTTTTTAAAAAAACTGAATTATGAAAGTTTTAATTTTAATTATTTGAATATTGTTATGACACCTAATATCAACTCATTCAAGACATGTCTTGCATTGTTTATCTATTAAATAATAACAAAAGAAGTAGAATAGAAATTTTGAAAGCTAATGGATCAAAAGAGAATAAATTTGAAAATCGAGTACTTAAAATACATATTTCAAAAAATTGGAAACGAAAATGTTACCAAACGGGTCCTAACGTTCCTGTTTCTTGTCTCTAGTTTCCAATTTTCTTAAGAAATCTAAGTATTTTACAAATAACTTTGTTTCTTGTTTCTCATTTTTTGGAAACATTTTCACAATTGTATAGAGATTTTGGAACAATCAAAATAAGTTTCTCTTCTCTCGTTCTCATTTCCAATTTGTTCCAAAACATAAATATTGAATTCTTGGAGATTGAAACCATGCAACACATTTTTTTTTCATTAAAAATAAAGAAACAGAGCGTTACCAATCCTACCAAATCAACCTTTAAATTAAAAAAAAAAATCTTAAAATACATATTTACATATGTTGAAGAACAAAACTTCCCAATACAATAGAAATTATATCAAATCCTCAACTTATCATACATAAAAATAAGTATGGTTGAAAAGAAATTGAAACACCATTTTGTGTATGAAAAAAAAAAGAATTATATTATATATTTTTGTTTGAGTAATGTTGAATCAATAAATTGACCAACTCCACGAACGTTGGCTCAGGTATGGATGACCTTGATGGTGAACCAAATAAGCTGAGCAGAAAACCTGCAAAACAGAACACACTCGGATGCCAAAGTCAATAACCGGCCGAACTAAACTCGAGAGAGCATTTAACATTCGTGTGTCTTGAAATGAAGCAAATGAGTTCTATTTATAGGCGACTTTTCCGACAATATTTCCGACAAAACCTCAACGACTCTTTAAGATAACTGTGAATAACGGCGTGCTATTGTGGAGTCTGTCGGAGATTGAGACTGAACCGAATAAAGTCAGTCAAGTGAACCAATGAATGGGAGCATTCGAAGGAGGCTTGATCAGCTCGACATGAGCCAAGAACATGGTAATAGAATTGGAGGCCCTCTGTTTATGGCCACGTGTCAGCTTTATTATTCAATCGAGACGTGCCACGTGGGAGCAAGAAAACACCTCCAACAAGCAAAACATTATATTATATATAAAATTATAAAAGAATTGGGATTGACCGCTGCCACTGCAGTCCGCACGTTAGTCTGCAAAACAATAAAAAACTTTAGTGCGTAACGACGACAGAGACATTTTGTAAAATCTTAAGAATAAAAATAATGTTTCAAGTGTTTTAACCTTTTAGGATATTATATTATATGAAACTCGATATTTGAACTTATAAGAGATAAAAATTCTTTAATGAACATTTATGATACTTATTTTGTGTAAAAGTTTTGATATATATACCATGTGACAACTTCGATGCTCAAGTCAATAACATACGAGTTCAAGTAGGTCGTTCTAGCTCAGTATCCTTAGATTGGTTGAAGAAGACTTAGATGATTTTCTGGTTGGTTTGATCTTCAACTCGATCTCCAAGGTAGATCAACCTTCTCCTTTAGGCTAGTTAAACAGGTTCTTACCTCGTTGAGCTGAGTTAATTGGACTACACGTATGATGTCGTAGTTTTCCCTCCAATAGGTATATTACAAAAGTTGATAAAGACACACGAAGAAAAAAAATTTGCCAAAAATACTACAGGAACAAAAAAGGGGCTACAAACTAAAGTAGACAAATAGTGGTAGAAACATAACATAGCATCAGTCCAAGGGGGAAAAAACCCAATTTTTTTTATAAAAATAAATTTAAAGCAAACCTTACCGATGGTTGGAATCTAAAACAAAAGCTATCTTACCAAGTTGTAGCGTTTAGTATATGCACATCACTCTAACAAATATATAAAATAACTGGAGGCGGGATATCCATAAATTAATCTTGGAATTATATTCTTTCCAAAGTTATGATATTTTTCTAGTTCAACAATGGTTGGAGATTTGAACCACCGTAGACTTGGAGATAATAATAATTACTTTATCTACCAAAATATGTTCGAATGCATAAATTAATAATTAACTTTGATATGTATTTTATTTTATTTTTTTAAATTCAACAATAACACGAGGTGAAGATTTGAACGTGAGCCTTTGACAGGTATCTTTGTCTTTTTCCAATAATTGATGCTACAAATTAATTGCAATAGATGGACGGTCTTATCGTTGGGCAATAATTTAAGATTCATGACATCTTTCTCATCTCTCCCTGCATACATGGCCATAATCTCTTCCAGAAGCTAAAGGGGAGGAGGATGGCACTCTAGCAAGTTTTTAAGTATTGATGTCGATGGAAATATCGATGTCTCAATTTCATAAAAATATCGATTTCTGAAAAAGTTGTAAAAATTAAAAAAATCATAAAAAATATTTAAATTAACTCATAAACATCGAAGTTGGATAATTTTTATAAACATTAATTTTGAATCACGTAAAAAATTTTGGTATCTAAACTTTCCCGTAATAATTTTTAATTTTTATAAATATTGAGGAGTTCAAACTAAAACAATACTAATTAATTACTTTCGATGCACGTTTTATATATACATGTGTGTATTTTTCTGAGTTCAACACAATTTGTGGAAGTGGAGATTCGAAATGTCGAACCTTTTGATCTAGAATACATATATGTTTTAACCACTTGAACTATATTCACATTAGATTATATAAATTTTAAATTAATTTTATTTTATAATCAAATAAATTTAATAGTATTGACAAAAAATGAAACATAAATGATCAAGCCGTTGGAGAACGTATGAATAATTCCGTAAATTTTATCTAATAATGAAAATAAAAATAGTTATGTTACAAATAACGACTTAAAATATACTACATTATCTATGTGCTAATATTTTTACTAAAAACTACCTACTTCGATAGTATTGACAAATTTGGCGATGTACTTTTAGCTTTGGTTCATTTCAATCCTTGTACTTTGAAAATGTTTATTTTGGTCCTATAACATTGGTTCATTTTGGTCTCTCTACTTTGAAAATATTCATTTTGGTATCTGTATTTTTAAAAAATTATCATTTTAGTCCCTCTTTGTAAAATTTGAACATAATTTTTACACCTAACGAAAAATCTTTGGTATAAAGTCATATTTATATTTTAAGAAATATATTAATTTTAATATCGTGTTGAAATTGTAATAAAAAAAATGAGACTAAAAATAACATTAAGAGACCAAAATAGTCACTTTAAAAAATACACGGGCAAAAATGAACCAAARTTGAAAGTACATAGACCAAAAACAAACATTTTGAAAATACAATGAACAAAATGAATCAAAACTAAGTATAACCAAACTAGTATTTTAACCTAAAAGAAAATAGACCAGAGTAGTAACAAAAAATAAAAAAATGAAAAAGTAGTCATTATGAGTGGCCCAGTGGTCTCAATGACCAGGGTTCATGGATCAGGAAATAGATTCAACCTCATGATAGGCACTTATGTGTTTTTCAATATAAAATGTTTAACATTTTTATTTATGTTTTACAACAAATTGAAAAGAGGAACAACAAACAAAAAATTTAWTTTTATTGTTTTCAAATTATTTTAGTAGAATGTTTCTAAAAATAATTGAGAAACAAGAAACAGAAAAATAAAAAAATAAAAAAAACTTAAATTTCTTAATAAAACTGGTAAAAAAATTAGAAAACGGAAAATTAATTTCTAACTTTTAGCAAGTTCTATGATTAGAAAATTGAAATGGATCAAGAAGAAGTTGGGATCTGTTTTATGATAATTATAGCATAATTTTTTGTTTTCAATTCTCGAGATGAGCCTATTTGTATATACACAAGTGGATTTTATTAAAAATTTTGACCACACTAAAAATACACAACACATACAAAAGGGAAAAAAAAATACAGTAATAACTTATATTGACCTGTCATGTTTTACAAGTGTCTTTATTTTAAATGATTTTTTTACTTATAACTTTGTTTTTTAATAATGTAAAAAATAAAAAAACAAAAAAACAAAAATAAGGCAKGTTTGAAAATATTTCTAAAAGTAGGGTAATCAAATCGTGTACAGCCAAACCATGTCTATTGGACACGATTTTCAGAAGACTCACATCTATTGTGTGACGTGTAGTTGGAGCCACGCAGACGGTAAAAAATYGTGTACAATGTACACGATTTCATTGCATCAGGTCTCACCCCTTTTCTTTTTTTTTCCTCAATAATATTACTTGCCATTTTTTTTCCAAAACACACTTGTCCAACATATATAACAATGTAGCGACAACATTGTGACATATGAGTATTACATTTCTTTAATTAATTAATTATGATATTAATTTAAATTTATATGCTAATTTTTTTTGTCTGCAGAACATTGTAGTAGAATATAATATACCGCAGTTGGGTTCTTTATGTGAGAACTTTATTCAAAACACAAACAAYTGGGAGGGCACTAGTAGACCAGTTTCTTCCAACTTTGAGAGGAGGCGCGTTCGTTGTAGGCACCAAATTCAACCAACAAATTTAGGTTTGTATACTTTCCAAATTCAGAGGACAAACTACTATGGTTTAAAGAATTAATAACATTACAAAAAAAATTGGGTGAACTCRTGTACGTTGTACACGATTTACCTAAAATTGTGTACGATTTATACGAGTTCAGCATTAAATCGTGTATGACGTACACAATTTCATTAAAATCGCGTATGACGTACACGATTTAGTTCACATCACCTTACACGTGTAAAACGTGTACATTGTACACAMAATTTAACTTTGACTCCACCACCCTACTTTTGTCAATAATTTTAAAATTCACCCTATTTCATTTTTTTATTATTCTATTTATATTTTTTAAACTTTATCTCGTAATTTACATTAAATTTGTAATTCCTTTTTTAATTTATATTATTTGAAAAATTTGTCCACAATTACCATTAGAGTTAGATTTCAATAATTTCTTCAAGTATTATAACTATTATTATTTGTTGATTCTTGTAACTTCAAGTGACATATCCATACAAATGGTTTCTCAAATATCTTTGTTTTCTTTCTAAAAAAGAAAAAAAAAACAAAAYAAAAGGTTTGTGATTAATGTATGCCCATTGAGATGCCAACACACAAAGATTTTATATCTTTTTGGGACCAAAAATTGCATTTTATGGAGCTCAAAGAAATAAAGATCATTCACATCTCTAAAGYTGAGTATAGAGCAATGGTCACCGCAGTAACTTGGCTAGCTTGAATATGATTGTGGAACATTAACATCAAGGTTATCTAATCTCTTCGACTTTTTATCAAACAATATGAAAGTTTTAAATGTTATTGATGAAAATTTCAAGGCCTCAATTTTATAAAATGTGTATGAAAACATCGATAAAATATCAATGTCAATAGATTTTTTAAGAGATTATATAAATGAAAAGGATTCGTCCAAATATTTAAATTAACAAATAAACATATAAAATTTTTAATATTAAAATGAATTATTATTAATATTATATCAATRATATTTTGTTGATATTTTAAATACTTTATTGATTTTTATGAAAATGTCTATTTATCCCTTATCCATAARGATATAATTATTTGTATGGATTGATGACATGTCATTGTCAAACAATTGGCCTGACATGCACCTGACTTGCTTCGTCGTTTTCCAATTATTAAATATATGTTATGATATGATAGGTCTGCGTGGAGATAATTGTAAAATAATTTAGGGAACYGAAAAAATAAGAATCTTTAGGGAGAAAAATCATCATCAACATGCCCTTGTTTAGCATCAACCTATCATTTGTTTACGATATTATAAAAGGTATCTTAAAAATGTTTACCACCCACACTCTCTCTCTCTCAGTTTAAATTTCTACTCCTACATCTTTAAATTCATTTTTCAAAAATTATTGGATACATCCACGATTTTAAATATTCGTCGATATTTCCATCAATGTATATCCATGTTTCAATGGATTCGACATTGACATGAGAGATAAATCAACGTTTCTATCATAGTACAAGAAAATCGACAAAATATGAAAAATATCAACAAAATGTCACTAATATATACATAATATTAATATTAATTATTTTTAACTAACTTAGAAATCGAAAAATGTTTATAAAAATTATCTACAAACTCCTCAATATTTATAAAAATTATTACGTGAAAGTTTAGACACCAAAATAGAATTTAAGACAAAATATATTACTACAATAAATAATATTGATTTTATTTCATGATTAGGTTATGAACAATTAATTAGTATTGTTTTAGTTTGAACTAATTTTTTAATTAAAACAAATTGARTTCTCTATGAAAGATGTAAAATAAATACAAATAAATTAAACGTTAATCTGCGAATAATGCAGCTCKTATGATATCAAACCTTTCAATCTTAAAAACATCAATATAAATGTTGCTACGTAAATAAATATATATTTTTTTATATTTAGCATATTGAAAAGAAAAAAGAAAATTTATATTTAAGATAGTAATACATATCCATCACGTGATATGAAGGGTATGGGCAAGTTGTCACACTGCAAAAATCTTGGTCTCCCATCAATTATACAATATCTCTATCACATGATATATGTCTACAAAATATCTGTCCAAATAATTATCATATGGTATTTTTTTCATAACATTTCTATAAGTGACGAGGCTCGTAAGCTGTAACCTTTTCGTGGGTTTTAAAATTAAACTTYGAACGATAAATTCTTTATGAATTTTAGATTCAAACCTTCACAGATTTAAGAACTCCAAACAAGACTTCAAATTCTCGAGAGAGAGTACGTAGATCTACAAATTTTAATCCGCTCACAAAGAGAATTTAATTATCTCTCGCCCATTTATTTTTTTAAAATATAAATAGAGACTTTAGGTTTGGGAAAATATGGCTCACARATGGGAAGTTCTATTTCAAAACAACTTCAACCGACCATATTGGAAAAACAAAGGTGATTGAAATCTTATAGAAATTAGGGTCTAAAAGTTGTTTTAAGCAATGAGTTAATAACCAACGTTATATTATAAATAGGAAATAAAGATTCAAAATTACATCTCGGTAAGAAATAAATGTGTTAAGCACTAAACTATGCATAGATTGACGAGTTTAAGAATTATTTTTTAAGTAAAAAAATGCGAGCTAGGTTTTGGACTTTACTGATAAGTTCAACTCAAGTTAGCGAATAAATAATAATTCGAAAACGAAATATATTATTCAATGGCTATCAGATTTCTAATGGTTTGAAACAAGAGGGTTATGTTTACAAAAGTTACTTTACGAACTAGTCTAACCATCAAAATTTTTTTCTATCTAGAAATTAATTATTATACTATTTCATATCATCTTTGATTTTTGTCATTGGTAGGTAAAATTTCATTTTCCTTGGGCACTATTTTTGTAATATTGAAATTAATTATGGAGATGACAAACGAAAAGCAAAGCATACTACAATAATTAACATAAAGTAACTTTTATTTCCTTAGATCCATACATTAAACAGATCCCAACTTCTTGTTCTTCATTACATAAATTTGCTAAGAGGTAGCAATAATGGAGGTGCCATTAATCACTAACCCTGCAATGGCATTGCTATATCCACTCGTCATATCATAATACCTACTCCATAGCATAATTCCTCCATAATTTGGAGTAAATTTAGTATATGGAAGAACATCATCAACAAGCACATTGGGAGGAATATATCCTCCTCTCCTTGTAGCTTCTGGCGCCGCAGGTAGTCCTATAAACACTTCTTTGGTATTACTCTCCTTCCATATCGACCAACTGTTCAACATATTCTGTGCACCCGCACCGTAATAACCGTCGTATTGGCATCGAGGATTATCAAAGAATTTCACTGAAATCGAATTGAACAGCCCTGTGAGAGAGACAAAGTAAAGGGTGAGTCTTTGTAGTGCATCGTCTTAATCGACTATATTAAGGATGAATAGACCAGCACTCAATCCAAAAACTTAAGCTGATAGGTTGGGTAAATTTTAATTGATATATTGTATATGCAACATTCTCACAAACCCAAGAAGTGAAAATCATAATAAGTAGAGAGGATATGACAATGCTTCTCTTTATCAAAATTCTTTTACCTGCATCTATGACGGGACCTAGCGTATAGTCAGGGTATTGGCAACTTGGAGATGCGGTAAGAAAGATGTCATCATCGGCATCCTTGAGCGATCTGGCAACGACACCCCAATACCATGACGACCCATATGGGCTGTCGAAATCGATTCCGTCCAAGATGGCATCTCCGAACGGGCGTGAGCTCACCGGCGCGTTGCCTGAGAGGTAGGTATGGAGGAGGTAGGAAGCGAATTGTCTCGGATCGTCGTTCCGAGCGGAGAGAAAGTAGCGGCTTCCGAGGGAGAGGAAGACTTTGACGCCTAGGCTTTGGCAAGCTTTGATCTCAATGCCAATGCTTCGGCAGTTGTATCTAATGTTAGGGTTGCAGTGAGCATGAAGATTTATGCTAATATACTTGAAATTTCCAGTGGCACATGTGGATTTCAGGCTGTCTTCGTAGTAATTGTCACCCCAAGAAATGGCGATTGCAGCTGCATTGGAGGACTTGAATAAGGAATAATTGGTGAAGAAAAGAGCTATTATCACCGAGATTACTTTGTGGTTTGCCATTGTTGCATTTTCTTCCGTGGATGAGGGGAATATTTATAGGTGGTCAGAAGAATCCAAAGACTTAAAATATTTGTGGAAGATAGATCCCTATTTTTGTATTCCTTATTAATTTATTCCTAATTCTCTTAAAATTTTAAAATTAATTACGTAAAAAAAATGTTAACTAATGCTATGGAAGGGAGGAATAAGTTACCACACGCTCAACGAGACCGATTCAATAAATTTAATACATATATGGATATGGATATCTCAACAGATACCCATGCATTATAATCCAAAAAAAGATGGTGCAAAGGACCTACATGCAATTATTTATAGGGATGGTAGCAAATTAATTATGATAGTTGTGTGTATCTTTTATAATGTGTCTCTTAGGGTAGGGCCAGTAATCTTGTCAAAGATACAGACATGAGTACGAAAAAGATAAGACACTTTTTCTTTTTTTTTTAAATTATAGGGACATATTCAACAAACGGTAAAGGGGTAAAATCCTATTTTGGCATATACTTACGTGAGTAACTATAAAAAAAGACCAATAATTAAGGTGAGCACGAGTTGAATTTATGGCAATAAGACCGTTGGGAGATACTATTGTTGGCAAAAAAAAAAACAAATTTTGTTTTCGTCCGCTTAGATTTGCTACAATTTTTTTATTTGTTTTTTTAGTACAATATTTGAGGTGAAGATCTAACTTGCAATCTCTTAGTTCGAGATATATGTCAAGTACCGTTGAGTTATCTTCAATTTGACAAAATTTTTCATATTGACATATAATTAAAATCTAAATATGCCAAATAAATTTAGTTTTTGTCGACACAAAACATATTCTTACATCTAAAATTATCAAATAATTGGACATTTATATTAAACAAAAAACTATTCTTATAACTTTTGAGTTTAGACTCAATGGGAATCGGATTCATTGTATTGTAAATTCTAATTAATAATTATCATCACTCACATTGTATTGTCATAATCTCGCTTTTTCTAAGTAATATTAAATTTGATTAAAAAAAATTATTATATTTTATATTAGTTTGCTAGTAAAAGCAAAATGACGTCATATGAATACTATATTCAAATAAAGAGTCATATTGAAAGTTTGGAAATCCTGGTGAAATTTAGTTTGGAAATCCTGGTGAAATTTCTATTAGAATATGCAGTTTTATTTTTCTGTGATTAAAAAATTTTAAAATAGAAGATGTGACGTGATATATATAGTTTGATATTAATTTCTTTCGGTAACTCAAAATACTTGAATATTTTTCCTATTCCTTTCTATTACAGTTATAGTTTATTTTCCCATTATTGAAGAACTTTTAAATAATTTTCTAAAAAAATTCAAAAACATTTTGTTACGAAGAATCGATCTATAGGCATAAACAACACCCCAACACACCGTAAAGAAATATTTTCACGTAAGAATTGAATTATTATAAATTTTAAACAAGACTAAAATAATGTAACACACTAGAACTTATTAGAAGACTAAATAATAATTACATAGACATTTCGAATATAATTTAATAGATAAGACACTAATTACTTTTTTAAGTTTGAAGTTTTGATCTCTCAGCTTTTTTTTAATTATACATCACATTTAAGTTAGACTTTTATTAAATTGTGTTATTTAAAAAAAAAATCAAAATTTATACTATATGTATATATATTTTTTTTCTTGCACATGTTTAATTTTATACCATATTTGAGAAAATTTTCTGTTATTTATGTAATTTACCTCTTTTGTATTTTGTAATATCTATGTAAATATTGCACTAAATTTTCTATTCAGCCAACAGTTTTCTTTCTTTGTTCTTTTTTTTTTAATATTTCCAGTCGACAATTTCGTCACCAACCCAAATCAGGAATAAAATACAGAATATTTTAAAATACTATGGGAGTATTTCAATTTAAAAAAAAAGTATTAAAATATGAAATTAAAAGAAAAAAACTAACGGTTTCTGGTTCAGAATCATGGGAAGAAAACTTCTCATACGTGTCAAATTTTGCAGCAAGTGATGAAATAATTTTAAAATGAAAACTTTTCTTAATTAAATTAACAAACGTGAAACACGTTCTTCAGAGATTTTTTTTTTTTTTGAAAAAAAATTTAAGAATAATTAAATTCTAGGGAAAAATCAATTTCTACGATTTGGATAAGATTGTATTAGTTTTAACCCTAAACTTTTTGAATTGCAAACGAAAGCCTAAAGTTAGAAAAATGTTGCAGTATTTATCTAAGTCTTAAACTCGTATAGGTACTGGAATCTTTATTTTAAATTCGAATGTGCAGTAATTTTTACTTTCTAATAAATTTTTATTTGAAGAATTTTACAAAAATTAGTATTTTCATGTTTTAAATAAATTATAAAACATGTGCATCCCACACAAATTTCATAAAACTTTTGAGAAAAATGACATTAAAGTTAGTTATTTGTTGAAATTTATTCAGTAGTCAATTTTGTGCCTTCATAAAACTTAATTGTACTATAAAATTATTTGTGTTCAAAACCTGATTTCATTAGAATTGGTGAGTTTTTGTAGATTTTTACTTTCAGAGTTTTTGTTAAAATTAGTGGGTGAATACCATAAATTGAAAATAAGTTATAAAAATAGCAACATTTATCTAAACTTATGATAATCTGATTGGATGAAATTAGTTGTTTAAGGTTAAAATTGATATACAGGCCTTGCTAAATTTGGATAAAATTGATTTTTCCTTTAAGTCAAAAATAAATTATCACTTTCTAAATTAATTTAGTCCCAGCAAAAAAGTGAGAAATTAATGGTGGGAATAATATTTCACAGGTGTAATTTATTTTTCCATAATAATATCTCTGGCATCAGTCAATATAAAAATTTCATGGAAGAAATAATGTAACTTACAAAATTACAAAAACAATGTTTTTAAAGTAATATCATCAAGAAACAGTAAATTAAATTAAAAAAAATTATAAAACTAAGGCATATATCTAAATTATTAATAAAAATAAAGGTAATTTTTGGTTAAAGTAAAAAATCACATGCATCCCACACCATTTTTTAAGGTGTGGTGTATTGTGATTTGAGGTTGAAGCTGAGGTGGTAAAAATTGCGAATGAAGGAAATCGCGTAGGTGGATTTTTTTTTAATAATGTTAATTTTAAAAGTATTTACGAAAATATGCCCCATCTCAAACTATTTACCAAAATAGTATTTACGATCAGCAGCGCCACGTTAGCTGATCTTCTCTTCAAGAGAGGACCTGCTATTTCCAAAACATTATTTTGGTAAATAGTTTGAGATGGGGCATATTTTCGTAAATACTTTTAAAATTAACATTATTAAAAAAAAAATCCTCGCGGACGTCATTCTTCTTTTCGAAATTTGTTCATGTTTTCACTTTGAACTTTTTATTTATAATATTTTACGTAATAAATTTCCTTTTCCACCAATTTAACAACCCTAGATCCTAGCAGCATGCCCAGCTCTTACTCGAGCTTTTTTTTTTTCAATGTAAAATTCGTGATTCTTGTAAATTAGTCTCACCATGGAGTTCCAAGTCTTCAGACGGACTCAAACTCGGTCCAATGTAAATATTTGATCGGTCCAACCTAATCCAGACCTGATTCAAGCTCGATCCAATGCTAACATTTAACTTGTTCGACCAATCTAGTCCAATCCAATCCATCCATAAATTGGATTGGATATGAATCTTGGTTTTTTAAATTCAATTGATCCATAGATTGTATTTAGATTGGTTTGTTGCATTAGTTAAAAGGTCGGATCGAATAAGATAATCACATAATAATATTATTATGATTATATATATATATATAATGTATTAATTATTAATATATAATTAATTAGTATTTAGGATTATTATTTATTATTTCTTGTTATTCTCCTTCTTTAGATTTTTTAATATTAATGTAGTAATACAATTTATTTATTTAAAGGAAAAACACAAATTCTAAAATTCTAAAATATTTAATGTAGTAATACAATTTATTTATTTAAAAGTAAAAACACAAATTCTAAAATTCTAAAATTTTGTTTGAAAAAATATTTTAGAAATAATTTATTATATGGGCTAATTCAAGCCCAATATCTAAACGATCAATGCCCAAACAATACTTGAGGTCCATAAAAGTTGGACCTGAACTGATCTTGAACATTGTCTTCTTTAGACTGGCTGAGCCAGGTCGGTCTAACGATTGTAATATGTAATTTTCAAAGAATGAAAATAAATCATGGAATTACTTCATGATTCCTGCAAATTATAAGTCAATTTTTAAAAAGTGAAATATATATATTTAAATCCTAATTTTTTAAAAGTAAAAAAATATGCAATTTACAAATGTTAGTTGGAAAAGAAAAAATTAATTGAATGATAAATTGTGGTAAATTATTTTTAGATTTTTTCCCGYCTTCTTTCTCAAGAGAGCCTTATTTATCTTCAATTGGTGATTCATCGACGTGGTCAGTTATTTTGCCAAACTTTAACTCCATATTTAATTATTTTCCCAATCATCATAATGTCTGAAAATTTTGTTGATACATTTTCCCATCATTCAATCATATTATGGAGGCCTGAGGGTATTAAGATACATACGTATCTTTATATTGCTTGTCAGTTAAAGGTGACTGTGTATTTGTGCAGCTGTGTTTCTCCACCTTAATTTGGGCATACTCTTTAAAGTTCTCCATACTATTTTTTTCTCAATTCTGTGCAAATGTAGTCTATTAAGAACCATGTTTATATTATGTGTATATTGGTTTTAAAATGAAAGTTTTTCCAAGAATAAATGTGTGCATTATTTAATTACGTATACCAATGAGTAGCTAGCCTAATTAGACTATCTTGAATAGTGCATAAGTAGCTTATCATTTTAAGAATGTGCTAATATTTTTCAGCATAATGATATGACTTATAGGATAAGATATCTCATCGTAATTCTCAAATTCAGGTACTTTAAATTTTGGTGGAATAACTACACTTGACACGAGGTACAGTTGTGTGGGATCGACATTGTCAAAAATGTCAGTGTTGGATGTTTAATATATGAAAGAAAGTGAGAGAAAACCATTGAGTATACAAATTTAACATCTGGAAATTAAATTTGTGTAATTAAGAAGAATTTGAAACTTATTTTATATTTGTAACAAATTCATTATTTATTTAATAAGTTGTTTTTTGTTTCAATTGTGTTAGGTAACTTTATGTTAAAGCTACATGTTGTTAAAGTTGAAGTTATACTTCAAATGATAATTTTTTCTTCATGTTGTTAAAGTTGAACTTAATTTATGTGGGAGGAGTTTCATGTTTACACAACTATATATAGTTGTGATTTTCTTCATTTTGAGATATCTAATCGTACCACAATTGGATATTCTCCTCCTCCCACAAAAGTTCTCTCTTCTTTTGAGTTGTTCTTCTTGTTTATGTTGAAAGCAATTATCTAACAGTTCTGCCATATCCGAGTAGTTCGAGGTTGCTGTTTTACTGGAGTTAGTCGTTACATCCTGCTGAACGATCGCTGCAGACTGCTAACAACTTGTGCAGAGTGAATAATTGTCTTCGGATCAGCGCTATTGAAGCGTGCCTCGACTATATTTATTAAGTTTGATGTTCATCAAATTGTCAGAACTATATTGTTTGTAGCCAGTTACGTTGTAGTCTGTTTACCAGTGTTATTCAGTTTACATATACATCGTATATTTATCCAACAGTCAGTTCCTTTAATCGCCTTTAATATTTCTTCGTGTATTTTAACTTTTTTACTTCGTGATAACTTCTTTGTAATTTCCTACCAACTTATATCTAGGGTAATTGAGATTGAGGACTGCAACATTGGCGCTTGGTAGTTATTCCCTTTACGATTGGCGTCAACCTAATTTGTAATGTGTGTGTATATATATATATAAAATATCATATACAATAGACAACCACTATGGTCTATAACGCAATTAAATCATGATATGTTGTTAGTTGTGGTCTATACAATAGACAACAATGGTCAATATATAATTCGAGAAGCCCCGTTTGTGGTTAATTTATATATGCATAATTTAATATCAAATTTTAACAAAAATTAATATGGCTATGTTATTGAAAGAAAATTCCAATTGACACAAACTATGCTAACATTAAGAAAAATAAAACTTAGCAAAGTTTTATATTACATAAAGAAATGTAAATTTACAAAATAAAAGTAAGCTACTTAGGATAAGAAGTTAACTAATAATATTATAAATTATGTTGGGTAGGATGTGTTGTTCCACTCAATATGAACTTCGTTGATCTACTTAGTATATGTCTTMTACCTAATAAACTAAGGAAAAACACAAACAAAAAAAATGCATCATAAAATAAGCAAGTCTATGCTAAACAAAACTGTTACGAATTCATATTATACCAACTCTTTGAATGAAGTATTCTATTGATCCATCACAATATACCTCGTATATTCATCACACATAACCACACTCAACAAATTCARGTTGATGAGAACCTTTAAAATAACAAGTATTAAGATGTCAGTAAAATTTAACGAAGGAATATCAACTTTATTAATATAACAAAAAATAAAATATTTACTTTAATAGAAGGTTTCCAAAAAGGAACTTTTTTTCTTCAACAAATCTCATTACATATTTAATTAAATTTATTGCTCTATTTTAAGACATGAAACAAATACACACTAAGAGTCCATTTACTTACCATGAATCATGAATCGTAATMAAAAAATCAAAATGGAATTTYCGTTCCCTTCAATGGTGTTTAACAAATTGTAGAAATGAAATCAAATGGTAGAACCTCGTTCCGGGTGTAATCYCATTGTACTCTCACAACCTCATCAATTTCATTCTCATTCTTTATTCCGTGTGTCTCACATATTTATTAGTATTACTTTACAATTTTTATCCTTTCTCTCTCATTTATTAATTAGATCCATCACTTTTTTAATTAATTGTGTTAGRCTTTTATTATTTCTTTTTCATTTATACCAAAAGATATGGAAATTGCTTATTGAGTATGTTTRTAYTCATCTTTGTTTTCCTAAATGTTTTTCAGATGAARGATTGAGTGATTGTTCTGGTAGAAGGTGAAGTTTAGCRTATTGACATTGAGTTTGAAAGTCATCTTCCTATTTAGTTAAGTTAGTTTAGAAAAATTCTGTAAAGAAATTGCTTCCGCTGAATAATTTTAGTTCTTAAGGTTTCTTGAAAGTTACGTTTTCGCATTTTGTCAGAATGACCATATTAGAAAATACGGGTTGTTACAGTTGATGGAAAAAAATATAAAAATATAAAAAAACTAATTAAAAATTATATTTATCTAATCCATAGATAGAGAGAAAGGGTAAAAATGGTACATTAATTATAATATATATGGATCGATCCACAAAATAAGGAATGAAAATGTGATTGATGAGGTTGTAGGAGTGTGATSAGATTACACATTTTTATTGTAATGAGATTACAAAATTTGAGGTGAGTCCCACCCTTCAAAGTTTTCATTGATTACGGGTAAGTAAACGGGACCTTAAATGAAAACTTTAAAGGCGAAATAGAAAAGCAAAGATCTTCGCATAATCCTTATATATATATAGATATATATTTATTTATGTACGTGTGCGTATATATTACAGGTTTGAAAATCCACAAAAATTTATCGAACCACAGTTATGCTTAATGTATCTAAAAAAAGTTTTAAATACTCAAAATATTAGAAGTGTGAGATCAAACATATCTTAACTTATATAASGTGATATTTCACCTATACGATCTCAATCAAATCTATATGCGAACGGACGCACTACTTCTTTCAATAGACACCTCGACTCGAACAGTCGCATCAAGTAGAAGTTTGAAAGACAACATTGATACGTATTAAAAAGTTAAATGATAAAATTGATAGGTAAAGATTATCCTCCACAAAATAATAATTAATAAACTATCTAGTCCACTATCGATATATTATAACAAATATGTGCACAMCGTAATTATTTAAGACATATATTTTCGATCAAACGATTAGAAGTTTAAATCCTATCCATACACGTAATTAGGAGGGTTCATTTTTACCATGGTGAATTTCTCAAATTTAGACAATGAATTCCCGTCTCTGCCCTAGCTGCAAAACCCTGTACATGTGTTGAACTCAAAAGCATCAAGAGTGAAAGTTGACAAAAAAATAATTTTATCCTTATGTTTATAATATTCTTAAAATTAACTTCACTAGAGAACGAAGGAAATGGAATCAAATTATTAATTATTATATTGTACTAAAARAAGAAAGAATCAAATTATACTAAAACAATGTATTATGAATTTTTCTTTCTTTTGAGAGTATATATTATTAATTTATTATATACATATCCGTGGAAAGAACGCTATGGAGGGCCCACAACAGTCGCGAGAATAAGAAACTGTACCAATCAGAAGCCGCGAGATTTAGAGGGCCCCACACTGAACGGTCTCCATAAAAGTCAGCTCCTTTACCAAATTTCTCCTCTCTCTCTCTCTCCTCTCTCTCTCTCTCTCCCCTCTTCGTCCTCCTCCCGAGCCCTCACGGGTTAGAGATCCAGAAACGAAAATCTAACTGTGAGGGATTTTCTTCAATCTCTGTCTGTCAGGTAATTTTTTCATTCTGTACGTATGGATTATTTTGTTTTGAGTTTCCGCGGATTGATCTGAGGGAGTGATCTTTTGATTTGAGGTGACTTCTAGGTTTTTCTCATGGCGTCAAAGCGGATCTTGAAGGAACTCAAGGATTTGCARAGGGATCCTCCCACGTCTTGCAGTGCTGGTATTTCGTTTCTCCGTCTCCTTTTGTTGTAGTGATCGAATGGTGTTGATTGGGATCGAATGGTGTGTTTTGATCTGTCGTGCAATTTCGTTTTTTTGCTGTTTGTTAGTCATTTGATTTGTGTAGACAATATGTTTTGAATTGCATGATGACTTGAATTAGGATGCTACTGATTTAGGGTTGTTTCTGTGTGATTTGGATGAGAAGCAGAACTACTTTTGAATTTCTTCATAATTCCTTTGGAATTAACGCATTTCCTTTGAGGCCTCATAGGTAAACTGCCTTTAGGAGAGTTTAATATAAATAAGGTTTTAAACCTCATTTTGGTCCCTAAACGTTCTAAATTTCTATTCAAGTCGTTAAACTTTTATTTTAATTCCATTTTTGTCCTTTAAACCTTCAAATTGACTATTTCAGTCCCTAAACTTTTTTAAAATGACTATTTTGGTCACTGCCCTTATTTTCTTTTTTAAAAAATTGATAACATGGCTTTGAGTATATGTATTGACATTTCATTGTGAACATGTATATATATATATATATAAGCCACATAGGGTTGCTGAGGTGGGTATACGTGCAAATATTATGTGGAAAATAACAGCAATAACCAACATGATTATTTTTTTAAATAAGGTGTTCTAGCAAATGTCCTCAAAAGTTGTGTCATCCCTCGATTGTCAATTACATGTTTTCGTAAATGTAAATAGCTTGTAACTGTATATCAAATGTGTTCAAGTTTTTCCTTCTTGATATGCTCCGGAACCGTCCCAGGCCCTGTAGCTGAAGACATGTTTCACTGGCAAGCAACCATAATGGGACCTCCAGATAGTCCCTATGCTGGTGGTGTCTTCCTTGTCACCATTCACTTCCCTCCAGACTACCCATTTAAGCCTCCCAAGGTATTTCGTTTGTTCTTAAATTTTGATTCGGGTATTTTCTCTGCACTCTGATTCTCCTGCAGTCCTGCTCTTGTCAATTATTTGCATTCCAAGTGTATTTTGTCTTGATTTTAGCATCGAGCCTTTAGATCTCCCTATATATGCCAACCAAGGACCGATACTTATCTAATAAGATTGCATGTACGAACATTTGTATTGCCAACTTGTGTCTTAAGATGAATTGATGGGAGGCTGTAGACCTATTTATATAGTCTGGTTGTCTGGTTGGGACTTCATGCTATTTAGCTGAGACCTCAGACATGGCCTATGATCCATATAATGCTTCTCATTTTGAATCCTTTAAACACCTATAGAACTGTTTTCTGAATATACAATAACTATTATATATTCTTTCATCTCATATAACTAATGAATATGAATTTTTAGGTAGCATTCAGAACAAAGGTATTCCACCCAAATATAAACAGCAATGGAAGCATTTGCCTTGACATATTGAAAGAGCAGTGGAGCCCTGCCCTAACCATTTCTAAGGTTTGGTCCCCAAAAGCCATGAATTTCATTGAAGATCATAACAAATTATCATCTTGCATCACTTTTAACTTGTCACTTAATAACATTGCCTGCCTATATCCACGACATTCATTTTAAAATTCTCAATGTAATTGTACAGTACAACCAAATTGCTCGCATGAAAGTGAGCATGATTAATTATTATCTTATTGTCATGATCATTTTAATCAGATATGCCGTTGTAGTTCACTTGCATCTCCCAGGATCAATAGAAAGTTGGTAATTATAGTTACTTGTACACTAAAATGTTTATCATTAAATTACAAGGAATTTGGTCCATGAACTTCCGGGGTTGTGTCTACAATCTAATAAGTCCCTTAAATTTAAGATGTGTTTAATAAGATGTGTTTAATAGGTTTCTAAACTTTCTATTTTGTGTCAGATTGGTTTCTTAACTTTAAAAGTGTTTATTAGTCTCTAACCTTTTAATTTTGTGATTTATTTTATTTTTTTTGTTTTTTTTTTATTTAGGGACCTTTAATGAATTTCCTCTCTCAATTTGTTAATCTTTCAATTTTGTGTCTAACAAATTCTTGAATTTTTTAAAATGTCTAATAGACAACAAAGTTTGAAGACTAAATTTGTAATTTAACCAAGGTTTATTTTAAGCATGTTCCTTTGATGAAGTTCTGTGCTCTCTATTCATCAATTAAATTTAGATCCCTGCTTCAGATTTAACTTAAATTTGGTCAAGTTCAACTTTGTAAGTTGATTGCATTGTCCTGTAATTTAGATTGATGAATCTTTGGCTGTAAGTTTCTGTTGAATAACTTTTATTCATTTGTTTAGGTGTTGCTTTCAATCTGTTCTTTGTTGACGGATCCTAATCCCGATGACCCGTTGGTGCCGGAGATTGCTCACATGTACAAGACAGACAGGAACAAGTATGAAACAACTGCAAGGAGCTGGACCCAGAAGTATGCCATGGGGTAAATGATATCTCTCTAACTTGTAAGTTGGGAGTCTATTGTCATTTTATATATGTCTCTGGCAATTTGTATGCAATTGTAATTCTGTTTCAATCCCTCTGAAAAAAGATGCACCAAATATTTGGCGCAACAATAGCTTTGCGAAAGAAGGTAAAAGCATGTTTTTTCCCTTGTTGTTCTGCATGGATAATGTAAGCTCTTTCTAGGATGATATATGAATGTAATCATTCTGAAGTCCTTGAACATCTCTCTCTTGTTTTTGGGTTTCGTAGAATGGCTGCAACCCAACCCCGGTATGATAAGTTTCTAGAAAAACTTTGGATTAGTTTGCCCATCCCGGAGGCAATTGTTTATTTTATTATTATTATTTTTGAGTGAAATAACTCGTTGGTACTTAATTTTGAGTTTAGTTTTCACTTTTCATTTAGTCCCTAAATTTTGAAATGGAAACTAAACTCAAAATTAAGTACCAACGAGTTATTTCACTCAAAATTAATAATAATAAAATAAACAATTGCCTCCGGGATGGGCATCCCTAAATTTTGAAATGGAAACTATTTCATTGATATATGAAATAGGAATATAAAAGGGCTCATGAATGGGCTACAAAAAAGGCTCTCCAATTAGACATAAGAGAGGCGAAACTATAGTGGTGGAAGAGAGAGGAGCATTTACACAATATAACTGTTTAAACTATAGAATTATATAAGAGATGAAGTGAGTGCTCCCTATCTTGGAAAATTTGTTGGTTTCTTTCCATCCAAACTGTCCAAACCAATGCTTAAACAAAATGAAGCTTTTGCCATAAGCTAGAGCCCAAGTCACGAAAGATAATTTTTTTTTGATACGAAACAATACTTTCATTGAGAATAATGAAAAAGATGCAAGAACTACAAAAAAGGACCATCTGAAGGGCATACAAAAAGCAGTCCAGAAAGAGGAAGCCCCCTGAAGAAAAGGACGGACTCCAATCCAAAAGAATAAGGCCTAGCGTATAATTACAGAAGGGCTTAGAAACCGAGCCCCATAATGAAGTATTAAATCTAACTAAATCCCAGACATAGTCCACAGACTTTTCCACCCCCCTAAACATTCTATGATTCCTTTCCAGCCAAATACCCTGTAATATAGCTAGAAAGCAAGTCTGCCACAAAAAGCTACCCCTATCACGAAAAGGGGGTATAAAAGCACCTCCTCCATCATAGCCTTACAATCCCCAGCACGGACCTAGGATATCCCAAAACACATAATGAAACGATGCCAGAGATCTTGAGCAAACTTACAAGTCCACAACAAGTGATTAAGGTCTTCCGAKGCACTCTTGCAGATAACGYACCAYTGCAAACCCAAACAAAAGACAGACCTCCTCTGGATACGATCCAAGGTATTGACTTTCCCAAGAAGGACTTGCCACTCAAAGAACTTGATCTTCTTAGGAACTTTAATCTTCCAAAGAGAGGAGAACCAAGGGGTTGAAGGGGAAGAAGAATAGGAAGGGGAACTCAAGATATGGTAATAAGAACTACAATATTTACCTTTCGACGGGCTGGGGGTCCAAAGCCTCACATCCTCCCTCCCAGGAATAACAGACACGTCGAGCACCAGAGTAAGCAAAGCAGACACCTCTCAGGTTTCTCGGTCCGTTAAAGCACGAGTAAATCCCAAAGAAATAGAAGGAACCTCTCCCCGAGGATTCAAAACCTCGGCCATCGAATGAAACCTCTTTCCAGAAAGATGATAAAGCCGAGGGAACGCAATACAAATCGGTTTATCTCCTACCCAAGCATCCTCCCAAAAGTAAGTATTACGACCCTCCCCCACCATAGACTGGATAGAATGAGAAAAAACAGGGAAACCCAGAGCGATAGCCTTCCAAGTATTAGAATTTCTCACCTTAGATCCACCTGTCRAAACCTAATCAAACGGATGCGGACCATATTTACTCACAATAATCATTTGCCATAAGACGTTAGATTCATGAAGGAAATACCATAACCATTTAGCCAAGAAAGCCTCGTTCCTAAGCCTTAAGTTCCCAATACCCAAACCTCCCACGTCAGTTTTGAGTTTATATTTCAGTTGGTTTTTAGATCTCAAAATGTTACACTTTTGGTCATAATTCTTGAGTTGTTTTCATTTTCACTAATGTCTCACTTCTGGTATTTGACATAACAGAACTGGTAACAAAATGTTAATGACTAATGAGTGTATTTAATATTAATTTATATTTATATTAGGGTAAAATATCTTTTCTGCCATTTGGGTTTGGGTAGTATTTCTAATAGCTCCATAGGTTTTAAAATCGTACACTTTTGTCCCGACTGTTTGGCGTTAGGTTTTTGTTAGTTAACTTAACAGAAAAATTTATTAATAAAAAATAGTTGGCCTGATAGTATTTAAACCAAAAGTAATTAGAAAGAAAATAATAAAACTCTCATCCTTCCCCTTCCCCTTCCCCTTCAACTTTAGAGCATATTGTCGTTGCTGTCCAACATTGCCCACTGCTTGCCATCGTTGCTCGATGTCACCCACTGCTTGCAGCTCAATCAAATAAAACAATATAAAAAATGAAGAAGTAGGAACTTTTATTTCAGATCAATGGATGGAGCGAGAGAGCRTCGGGTGTGGGCAGCGACGGGTTAGGATTCAGGTGATCAAGCAAGAGGRAAAAAAATTTCGGGAGTCAAAGGTCGAGCGAGGGCAAGTGGCACCAACTATTTTTATTATTACATACGTCATGTCATTTTTCTATTAACTTGGCTAACGAAGACCTAAATTTAGGGACCAAAATGAGGTATTTTCCATTGAAGGGTATCAAAGACCAAAAAAGGTATTTTACCCTTTTTATGGTTTATATTGATAAGAATGTTTACTTTTACAATATTTCAATAGGAAATGTGGCAGGAAAAAAATAAAAAATCATAGTCAGCATTTCGTTTAGATGATTAGCTTTAGAGATTTGTTTTATTCTTTTTTCTATAACATCACGCATCGAAGTATTATAATCATAAATATTTTTACCGYGTTAYATAAATAAATATTAAACGTGCAAGTCAACGTCTAGGTTAGAATTAAGGTAACTAATGGTTTTGCTATGTTAAGAGACCAAGAGTGAGAATTAGTGTATTTTGAAACTTAGGGGGACTAAATGGAAATCAAACTTAAAACTCATAGGTAAAAGTATAACATTTTGAAACGATGAAATGGAAATTAAATTCAAAACTAAAGGGTTTTTTTTTCTCTTTAAATGAAAGAAGTAACAAGAAGAATATGTTTGACTACTAGTTTTAATTTATTATTCCAAAAATTATGATATTTAAAAAATTAAAGTTTCACTTCAAAATATTATTTGACAAATTTTAAATTACAGTTTTCTTTTGTTTTGTATTTATTATGCATTTCAAAATTTAATTTATAAATTGATACTTATATCTAATGAGGAATGAAACCTTATTAAAARTTTGTTTAATAACGTTCTCGTTTTTTATTGYTCGTTTATTATTTTTTAATAAAGAAAAATATAATCGTATTTGGTAAGTATTTAATATTCTTTCTCTTTTTTCATAATTTTGTTGGAAAAGTAAACAAAGTGTATTCGTCATTCTTTGGATAAKTGGTTATTGATTTTATTTTTCTTTTCTTTTCTTTCTTTTCTTGCAACTACTTGCAAGTTAAGAAATCAACTTATCTTGGCTTTAATAATATTTTGATTTTTTTTTCCTATGAAATGATTTACCTACCTGCAATTGAGAAAGTTTGAAAGAAAAAAAATTATCTTATTATGCAAAATTCGTGAAATGTTTTTAAAGTATTTATCTCTTTTTTTAATACAACAAATTGGGTGTTTCACYTCGGACCTCAATAGAATGAGTAGATATCAATTATTGCTAAATTATAAAATTTGAAAGCTTTCAAATCATTATTATTTGATGTAATAAGAAACCACATAATTCACTCGTTAATTGGAGCATAATTCAATCTTATATGATATGACCATCTATAGAAAGATTCTTACACTCTACCTTTGTTATATATTCGATAGTATTATACTGATATCATAAAATGGAATACGATTCACTTTCGACAACGCTTTGGTGTTGAAATTGTAGACATGTAAGACTTAAAATTTCATGCTAAAGAGCATGGATGAAGGTTCAAGTATACAACATGAGTCACATAATTTTTTTAGGGCTACATGCCAAGAAATTTAGTAACAATCAAGATAATTTAACTAATAAAATTATATATTTAGAAATATTTCAAACTATTTGAAATTAAACTGGTAAAGCGTATCAACATTTGCTTAATTTTTCAATTTCATCGAATTAAATCTTATGGTTAGATAAGTACGCAACCTTTACCTTAAATCTATACTTTTTTTTTCTTGTTAGTCTTTTCATTGAGATAAAATTTTATAAATAAAAATAATCAGTTTTTTTTAAGCATAAAAAACCAAAAAAAAAATATTTTAAAAATTTAGAAACTAAAATAAAAAGTAAAAAAGATAGAGATTAAAATAAAGAGACTAAAATAAAACAAATCAAATGTCTCAGAAAAGTAAGTTGGAGATATATATTAATTAGTCTTGATCTACCTTAAACAACGTTACCAAAAACCATAGTCATATGAAAAAAAGTAGCAATTAAATTTATTTTTTAGCGTAAAGAAAATAATCTCGTAATAAATAARGTAATGTAATATTTAAAAACTCTATATACTCAAAAATGTTTTCGAACTCAAAAAATAAAAATTTAAAATTAAACAACTTTGTTTCTCAAAAAATMTAAAAATTAAAAAAAGAAAAAAAACATAAACGGCTTTGACGTGGAGGTGGAGCGTGTGAGCGTACTTTCAAATTTCAACTTTGAGGGGCAAAAAGGGAAAATCGAGAAAGACAGAGCGTTATAAAGACCAGATCAGGGAAAGTGGACTGTTTCAATTGGGGTTTGTGGAGGACCGTTGGAGCTTGCGATGCAAGAAAACCAAAAAACATGGCGATGAGATTTTGGGTTTCCGTTTCGTCTCGCCCTTTCTTTCCCAATCTCATCCATTTTCTTTCTCCCACGGGGACATGTCGAGAAGATTATTGAAATTCTCGTCGTGTAAAATGGGAGATCGTATCAACTCTTCCACTCCTCATCGATTACCAGCGTCCGCCTCTTACGATCTTCTGTTTGAAGGTACCTTTTYCCCAATCGCTCTTATTTGTTGCGTTTCTTGATACGTATTGGTGTGCATTTCCTCG